ATGAAATGTGTGAATAATAAGTGGTTAGTAAATTGTATGTTCTGTCCTACGAAATGTTTAGACAATAGTATTTTTTTTTTTTTTGGCTTAGATTATAATTTACGCTTCGTCAAGATCATCTTAGGTTACGAACAAAATTGAATGATCATAAGACATGTATATACCCAAAAAATAGAAAAAGGATTGCAAATAAAAATGTGCCGACTTCCGTCTATTAATGTGCAACAATGTGAGGGAGACAGAGAGAGAAAGATCTTGCCTTTGTATTATAGGAATTGTCTTTAGGCACAAAAATGTGCCACAATGAGACAAAATAATTTAATATACCAATTAAATTATTTAGCGTGTTTGTTTATTCGTTTCTACGTATGTCAAAATTCTTTTGAACTTTTTCTATAATATCAAACTATGTTTACTTATATCGAATATACAGAGGAAATGTATGTTTTCAGTATAGGTATAAAAATGGCTTCGATGTCTAAGAAAAATAAAAGACGAAGAGAAGTGTACAATGACAGTGCAAAATTGGATATTGACATACAGACGCCGAAGAGAAAGTCTCTACGTTTTGTCCAGTTGGAAGGTATCTACATCTAACTACAAGAGGAAACATATTTGTAATATATTCTGGATGTTATTTTTGCCTTCTCTTATGACTTGTGCCTATTTTTCTATTCATGTGGACTTTTTTTTTTCTTTTTAACTTTTTTATTTTCATAACTAAGCATATAAACTATTATACTTCAATACTACATTTATAATATTTGTTCTATATACTTCATTCTGACAAAAAAAAAGGGATATTTTGAATGAAAATGTTTTTTCTCTTTTCTTTCTTTATTTTTAAGGTTAGCTTCTTTATAAAAAAAATTGTACCATATGACGTTTAACATTTAAAATTGTAGATTTTTGTTAGTGATTTTACTTTTTTTTTCTACAAAAGTTTCATACAATATTGATATATTATTTTTTCTATTCCGTGTGGCTTTAACATTCGAAATGGTTTTGCAAAATTAAAATTTCGCAGCTGCTGGTGTCATCGGTTCAGATTCAATTTCTCTCTTTCCTAATTGTGAAATTGAAGACAATCAAGTAGGTAATAAGATATTTCACTTATTTGTATTAATTACATATTGTTTTTAGCAGTGAAAAGATCATGTATTCCTTAGATAGTTGAATATGATTACTTTGTCATGTTTGATTTGTGTTACGTATAATTATATAGGGAATGTTTTCCTATTCAGTAGTCTTCATTGTAATGAAGTTTGTAACATTGATGTTGGACGAAATAAGTTTATTTGATATATTTGTTTTGTTAAAAATTGAATTTATAACCATGTTTTACATTTTTTTAAAGGGATATGTCTTTTTCAGATTCTAATGTGGTTTCCGTGATAGGTAGCTGTTTTGCGACTTATACCCATCAGCTTCGTGTTCATTCAGAGCTAATGCCATCAATATTTACCGTAAATGAAGGTTCGTTTTCGATACCAAACAAATCATATGTATTACCTTGCCCTGTGCTATGTGAATATTGTGGGGCTCTAAAATTTAAAGATGAACCGAAAGGTTTTTATTGTTGTGATGGAGCTGTTAGATTGAAAGTGAATGACAACCTAGATGAATTACATCATTTATTTACATCAAATTCTGCTGAATCGATTGAATTTAAAACTTACGTACGAACTTACAATAGCAATTTCTCATTCACTTCATTTGGTGTGCATTAGGATAAAGATTTGTGCAAAAGAAACAAAGGAATCTATACCTTTAGAATTCAAGGTCAAATATATCATTTTATAAATGACATTCTTGTACAAAACGGTCGCCCTTCTTATATGCAGCTCTATTTTTTTTACACTGAAAATGAAATAGAGCATCGACTACAACTTTCTGAAAAGTTAACAAAATGTATACTTTCAAAGCTTGTCAAAGTGATGGAACTGAATCCATACGCAGTTTTTTTTTTCGAACTTTAACAAATATTCCAAATTTGAAATCTCATAGTCTTAAAATTAGATATGATTGTGGATTAGATCAAAGAGTATATGACACACCATGTGCATCTCAAGTAGCTGCTATTTGGGTTGATGATGATTCTACTACTAATGAACGAGTGCGTGATATAACTGTTTCTTGCAATTCTGGAGAAAAACATCAATTACATTATTATTTTGATTGTTATGATCCTCTTCAATACCCCTTATTGTTTCCTTTTGGTGAAACTGGTTGGCACCGAGGTACTGTTAGAGTTGACAAACGCAGAAGACAACAAACATGTGCAAATGAAAATTTATTTGACATTCATCAATTAAATTCTGCTGCAGAAATTTTTGCAGTGGAAAATACAGGTGAATAATTTATTTATGCTTATTACATTTATTTTTAAAATGTTTAAAATTCCATATTGTAACACATTTTCTTATTCTATGCTTTTTCCAGTTGTGCAAAAGAAGACAACAAGAGCTCAGGTATCGTGTAAAGAATACTATTCCTACAAATTACAGGTTAGACCTTCACATAAGTCAATTTTACTTCATGCTGGACGTTTGTTACAACAATATGTTGTAGATATGTTTGTGAAGATTGAAACGTCTAGATTAGATTATTTTCGTAACAATCAAAATGAAATACGCGCTGAGCTTTACCAAGAGATTACAAATTGTTTTAAGTCCGATGAAACTCGAGCAGCTATGACTGGTAAAAGAATTATTCTGCCGTCATCTTTTATTGGTGGTCCAAGGGACATGAACAAAAGATATATGGATGGAATGGCATTATTTCAAAAATTTGGTAAACCAGATATTTTCATAACTATTACTTGTAATCCAAATTGGCCTGAAATAAAAGACCAATTGAGGTATAATGACGAATCACAAAATAGATCTGATCTTTTAACTCGAATTTTTAGAGCTAAGTTAGAAGAACTAAAAACTGATATATTCAAAAATAAAATTTTTGGTTTTGCAGCTTCATATATATACGTCATAGAATTCCAAAAAAGAGGTTTACCACATGCTCATTTTTTAATCATTTTAGATCACGCATCCAAAATCATTGCTCCTGAATCTATAGATAAATTTGTGAGTGCTGAGATTCCAGACAGACAAACTTACCCTCATTTATACTTCGTTGTTGTTTCTCACATGATACATGGTCCTTGTGGCATTTTAAATCCAACTAATGTATGCATGAATAGAAATAAACAATGCAGAAGCCATTTCCCAAAGGATTATACCCCAGAGACGTTCTTAGGCGAATTTTCAAACCCAAAGTATAGACGTTTAAATAATGGGAGGAAAGTGAAAGTTAGAGGACAATGGTTAGATAACAGATGGATTGTACCTTACAATCCATATCTCTTGGCTAAATTTAATTACCATATAAATGTAGAAATTTGTTCAACCATCAAAGCTGTGAAATATTTGTATAAATATGTATACAAGGGACATGATAGAATTGGTTTCTCAGTACATTCTGAAGAACATGTGGTTAATGAGATTAAAAATTTTCAAACAGCTAGATGGATTTCTCCTCTTGAAGCATTATGGAGAATTTTTGGTTTCATTCTTTCAAAAATAAATCCTCCAGTTGTTACTCTTCAATTACACCTCGAAAATAATAATTTCGTTACATACAAAAGTTCTGACAATCTTGAGAAAATTGTAAGTACAGACTTTTTCAAAAAAACTATGTTAACGGAATTTTTCCACATGAATCTTGTTGACAAAAAAACTACAACTCTTTTATATAAACAATTTCCAGAATTTTTTGTTTGGGACTCACATCGTAAATGTTGGAGTCCTAGAAAACAAGGTGTTTGTATCGGTAGAGTCGTTGCAGCAAGTCCAAGTGAAGGGGAAAGATATTACTTGCATCTTTTGTTAAATCATATTAGAGGCGCAATGTCATATCGAGCTTTAAAAATTGTAAATGGTGTTGAAACATCGTCTTTTCGAGAAGCGGCACTTTTACATGGTTTACTTAATGGAGACACTAATTGTGATTTATGTTTGCAGGAAGCTTCAGAGTATCAAATGCCTACTCCATTTCATCGTCTTTTTACAACAATTCTAACTCTATGTGCTCCGAATGATCCAAAAAATCTATGGAACAAATTCAAAATTTTTATGATTGAGGATTTCATACGTGCTGGTATGTCGCTGCAAATTGCTGAACTTAAAGCTCTTTTGGAAATTGATGCAATTTTAGAACTTTCTGGTAAATCCATTAATAGTTACGATTTTGTATCATATAATGTACATCTATATGAAAATGAACACGTCGCTAAAGTAATAAATGATGAATTAAGCATTAATGTGTCAGAAATAGATATTATGTGTCCCCATCAACTTAATACTGAACAAAAGACTGCATATAATGCAATTCTAAATAAAGCAGACACTAATGTTAGCGGCATGTTCTTTATTAATGGTCCTGGTGGAACGGGTAAAACCTTTTTATATCGTGCATTACTAGGTACTGTGAGGTCAAGACAAATGATTGCTTTAGCAACAGCATCTTCTGGTGTTGCAGCTGGTCTTTTGCCTGGTGGACAAACAGCACATTCTAAATTTAAAATACCTCTAGAAATTTGTAATGACACAATATGTAACATTAGTAAACAGAGTGCTCTTGTAGAACTTTTTCGAATGACAAAACTAATCATATGAGATGAAGCTCCAATGGTGAATCGATATGTAGTTGAAGCATTAGATAAAATGTTAAGAGATGTTAATGATTGTGAATTCCCATTCGGAGGTAAAGTTGTTGTCTTAGGAGGAGATTTTCGTCAAGTTCTACCTGTAGTTCAAAGAGGTAATAAAGACGATGTAATAGGAGTAAGTCTTGTTAACTCTTACTTATGGCCTTTATTTACAAAACTAAGATTAAGTGAAAATATGGGAGCACAATTAAATACATCGTTTTGTAAATATTTACTTGATATTGGAGATGGAACCGCAGAAAAACATTCATGTAATATGGTACAACTTCCGCCTGACATAACTATAGATTTCGAAGAACACATCACTTCTTTATAGTCATTAATAGATATAGTTTACCCAAATTTAGATCATTATGTTGACAATCTTCATTACATGATTAACAGAGTTATTTTAACTCCAAAAAATGAATCTGTTGATGAAATCAATAATTTGTTGATTAGTCACTTTCCTGGAGACTCTTTCATTTATTTTAGTTTTGATGAAGCTATTGATACAACTGACCAAAGTATGCAGGAAGACATTTTAAATAGTTTGACTCCGAATGGTGTACCCCCGCATGAACTAATACTAAAACCAAATTGTCCTATCATGTTACTTAGAAACATTAATCCTTCAGAAGGTCTCTGTAATGGAACTAGGCTTCTTTGTAAAAGTTTCCGAATAAATATTATAGATGCTGAAATTGCAGTTCGAGATTATAAAGGAAAAAAGGTATTTCTTCCTAGGATAACCTTTATTCCACTTCAAAGCGACAAAAATCCTTTCCCTTTCAAAAGAACACAATTTCCAGTTCGTCCATATTTTGCAATGACAATTAATAAATCTCAAGGACAAACACTTGATTTTGTTGGTTTATATCTTCCTGAGCCAGTATTTTCGCACGGCCAATTATATGTTGCTTTGTCTCGAGCCAAAAGTAGCGCATGCATTAAAGTTCTCATCAAACCAACAACCCCCCAAAAATTACATATGAAATGTACAAAAAATGTTGTTTACGATGAAATTTTAGCAATGGTAAATACATGACGTTATGTTCTCATTTACATTTGCCAATGATCATTACAAAACATATTTTAGCATTGTCATTTTCATTTGGCTGCGGAGCTAACTGAAATTTGAGAGAAAATTATATTCTTCTCTGTAAAATTTGACCACAATAGAGAACCCTGTAAAGTACTCTTTGCTTATTATTTGCTCATTCTTTTTGTTCCATTTTATTTTAAAATTGTGCTTCTTTTGGTCACTACACTTGGTAATCCTTCTACTTGCTCCACATGAAATTGTTTCCAAACAACATTAAGAAAATGGATCACACTGACGATATTTTTGGTGAACATCAAGACAAATATGATCATGAGATGGTATGCTTCTTATGCTACAGAGTTTTTTCTAACATCTTTTTTCAAAAACATACATAAATCATCATTTTTTAGTGTGAGTTAATGAACATTAATAATTTTGTTCTTGGCTGTTTAGTTAACTTAGTATTAGGTTCACCCACTGAGATAATACACTTGTTGTACTACCTATTTGTTCATGTATTCATATAGCGTAAGTTATTGAAGCAAGATAAATTCCTTCTTGGCCATTTAATTCACTTGGTAATTCGTCATTTGTTGCTGTCAATGCCTTCGTTCACTTTCATGTTAGATTTTTGGTATTTAAAAGAGATGAGACCAACGATGGCTTCATGTACTCATTTTTCACTTTATCTATACATTTCTCTTTTAAAATTTGATCTTTATGAATTTTCCCTGTAATTTACATCCTATACATGTATCATAAATCTTTACTGAATGTGACATTGGATCTATACATTTTTTGTCATAAATTTTTGATCACGCATGGCTTCTTGAAAACCTCGGACCTACTAATCTGAGCACAAACAAAGTGAATCTCAGAAAGGTAAATTAAGGGAAAAAAAAGTAACATGACCAGTTTATCATTTAAGGCTGTGTGATCTCAGTGGAAATCAAGTGGTTCACATTCTATCAAATACACAAAACTTGAATACTAAATTTTTTGTTTTGTAGGTCAATCTCACTCATGATATTTATATAAGTAGTCTTTTACATTTGAACTTGTCAGACTCTCCTTGCTTATCTGCCCTTGTTTTCAATTAGGTGAGAAGTCAAACATAGTAAATTTTGGTTTTAACTTTCAACTCATATTACTTTCTATAAGCTACATCAAAGAATGATTGTACTTTTGTTTCACAATATATTCCTGCTAAAAGCCTGCATCTGACAGAACTATGGAGCAAGTCAAAAAAAGATCTGTTTGACTCTTTGAGCATCATAATACAAATACTGCTAAAGGTGGCGAATATAACTTAAAAGTTCATCTCTTTGAATTCCAAAATCTGTGTTTAGAAGGAGACATCTGTAATTGATCAAGTGTATTATTGGATATAAATAATAACATATATTATCCTAGCCAAATTATGTTTTTGAGTTTTGCGATTATTTTCGGGAATCCTATCTGTTCATAGTTTTTTTTTTTTTAATTTTTTTAAAGCAAAACATATACATCCTTCAAGTCATCATGAGCATTGTTATCTTTTTGGGGTTTGACCTTGCTCTCTATTGGATGTGAATATCTTGTGCTCATTGCTTTAAAATTGTTAGAAAATTAAAGATAGGGGCCACTTGCCCACATACAGGTTCTAGAAGGTGTTGTCAAGTATAAATTGAATACTTTACGTATAAAACAAAGAAACAACATAAAAACTATATTTCTGAAGTTATAGTTGAGGTAATTTAATCACGCTATTTTAAGGAAAATTTTGTTCGCATATGCTTCCAGCAGCTTCTTAGTTCAAGAGCGTGACTAATACTCACTGTTTCATAATGACCTTAGCTTTCAAGCAACGAGATCTCTTTCTGGCGTGAGAAACTGTATCTCAACAAAGTAAATATTATATTAGTTCAGGTTATACTATCTAATCGTTGAAATTTGAATCATGTTCACCAATAATAACAGCAGTTTTGCTTTCTATGCATGTGCTTCATGTTTCAAAAGAACCTCGCTGCCTGGCTTTTCCTTATATGCCATCTTGCTTATGCTTCTGTTCCTTCATGTGCACATCTTGAAGCATGAGTGGCCACATATTTATTCTTGTTCAGGGGTTTGATAGTTTAATGATTATCCTCTATTATGTTCCGTTTGATTAATAATTGTTTGTTAAACTATAAAGTATTTTTTTTATAATCTAAATTGGTTAGATGTAAAACTGAAAAATAATGTATGTGTTGGTTTTAAATGTAGGTTTATGTATGCTTAAACTTGAATTCAACAGAGATGATTGGTTGCGATGAAACAGAAGAAGATCAATTCTTTGACAGCCATGATGAGATCACTTCTATGTCCAATGTGGACACTAATACAAATTCTGCAAGTAATACGCACATGCTTTAATTGTATATGTAAGTTATCCCCCAATTGAGGTTAGATATAATTTTTTTGTTTGACTAAATAAGGCACAACCATCAAATAGTATACACAATGGAACAACCTGTGCTAATAATCGTCGATGGTGAACTGACATTGTGGATGTCCTGTGATAACATGTGCTTAAATTATTGATAGCAAATTGGATATTCTTGTACTTTCATGGTTAGGCTGCTATATGCTTTAATGGATTTAAGACTTATGGGCTCTGAAATTCGCTCTCCTGAACTTTGAATGGAGTTTTTTTACACGTGGATAAGATATAATTACCAAGGCCAGTTTACAAATTTGCAACTGTAATGTCTATAGATTTGAAGTAACAGTTTGCTGAATACATTTGTAAGTTTTCTCAGAATTGAGCTTTGGAACCGATAGTCTACAATTGTGAAATCCTTTTTTCTCACCCCATGGTATTTTTTTTCGACTCTGGAATAAGTCCTCTCAACTTCAATACGTAAATGCTAAGTCTCAAAATTTTTAATATTTGCTTTTTGTACTTGCCTTTCAATCTTCCTCTTTTGTTATTTTTTCCTTTTTTACTGGTAATGAATTATATTACTATACTATTTTTCCATGAAATATATTAAAAATTACACAGAATTTTATTATTATCGGAGTACTGACAACAACGAATTCCAACTACATATTTTTGGAATTTTAAATTTTTAGAATGCACGCATATCTTAGAACCAAGCCATTTTTTGCTTTAACTTAATATAATCAGTGATGATTTTATCTGTGTTGCTCTGTGAATTGTTGTTACAAGTTTCTAGAAACTGTGATTGACTTAGATTGTGATCATTATTCCTCTTCATTTCTTCCACCGACCAAAATTGTAGCTCCGAAATTCAATCAACAATATCGTGACTACTTCTATATCTCTGAAAATTCAAATCTACTTATTGAATGGGGATTTGACTAAGTAGATGGGCAATTTTAGTTTCTGCACATCGAAAGGTATGTATTGCTCATTTTTTATAGAGCATAAATTGTTGACTTTCTCTAAATCATTGGTGTTTTGCTTTACTGGCCACGAAAGCTAAAATTCTTCACTCATACTATATTATTTTTACTTTATTAATCCAACCCCTTTGTTGGGTTTTTGTGAATTTTTTATTGTGCCCTTGATTTGTTGTTTGTTGCTTTGTAGATCATAACCTATTTAGTTTTTATACAAAAAAAAAATTGATTTTATTTATATATTCTGTTGATATTTTTTTTTGCTCTATTTGTGGATATTTATTAATTGGGTAAAACATATTTCGTGCATTTTCCTTCAAAGCCTGATTGATCTGTACGCTTTGCATCGGAGTTTGTTGTTTATTTGTTTTTATTATGATAATTTGGGATGTCTTCAATGAGGAACGAGAGGGCAATGTGGTGAAAAATGAATTTTTGTGTATTTGAGAGATTCGGTGTGTTTTTGGGAAAGAGAATTTGCCAACTGGGCCTCCGACCTGGTTGTAGCTAAGAATTTTTCATCTCCAAAAAGTTTTGATATTTCACCAGTAACTGTTGATAATTAATTGGATTCTAATGTTATGAGGAAAAAATTGATTTAACGCTAAGGGTTTTACTTAAATTTTCGATTCTTAAATAAATAGTTGGTTCGAATTTAATTCTTTGAGGCTTATATATATTTTATTGATGTAAATAATGAGGTTTATTGTTTGTCGAATATGAATAATTAGTGAATGTTTTTAAGTAGGTAAGGGACCATTTTTTTCCCGATGTTGGATAGAGTAATCTCATACTTACGTTTAGCGCTGTTTTAATCCATAAACATTGCGAAATTGAGGGTTTATAGTTCATGGATAGAATCATATTTCTGCTAACATTGGGCTTGATGCTTACTATAGATGTTTGACGTAGCTTTCTTCAATAAACAAATGTGATAACATTGAATTCCATTTCACTTTCCCGTTATACTCTATTCTCAACATGAGGGAACAAAAGAAAATCTTAATTGGTTTTGGTGGGTGTGAACATGCCTAGATGTGTGTTGTTGTCTCCTGTATTTCTCTTCATAGTTACTGGAAAATCTATGTTTTTACTCTTTCTTCGGGTAATTGAAGAGTTATTATGGGAAGAAAGTTGTACTTGTGTTTATAGCTTATGGTTTGCACTTTTCTAAGGCAACTTGGTCTTAAGCAAGTAAGTTGAACATCTACTTGTTGTGAAGCTTTTGTGTTTATTGTAATCTAGATGTATAAAAAACTTGATTTGAGGCGTTTATTAGTTCAAATATGTGTGAGCTGCTATTACTTATCTGATAATTTTAGGGCGTCAACTTGACCCAAACAATTTCATTCTCATTCAATATCCTCACTTTTGGCAGTGTCTCAAAAATCAGACTTCAGCTTGGATGTAGAACAGATTGCAGAGGTTGTTGAGCAGGAGAGACGTAAGTGCATATTCCTAACATCCCCTAATAATCCAGATGGGAGATATCATGCGATGAGTCTATCTATTTGTTGGTCCTTTCTCTTGTTTTCTACTATGAAAATATCATACCATGCTTTGAGTACTATATGTTAGGTTATTAATGTTGATTTGTTCAGTTTTCCTGCGTTAATTTTTATTTTTTTAATTTTTATTTTTAAAATTACATGCTACATATTCCAGTTACAAGTCATTTTTGTTGATATGAACATATTCCTAGCCAACACTTATTTCCTTCACATTTATTGACGCTCTCTCTCGAGAGTATCTTTTGCTGTTTTGTGTCCAATAAGTTTGTTGAAGCAACCACACCTTCGGAAATTAGTTGAGAACATTTAAAACTAAATCTCAGAGCCATGTCTAGGACCAGTTTCTCACATATAAACACTCTAAAATTGAACCGGGCTTTTCATAGTTTGTACCCACAAAATTATGCTAATTTTCCTATTCGATTTAGGGGGTTTTGTTTTACTTGCTATGCTTCGACACCTTCTTCTTCTGTTGTATTGAGGCATAGAAGAAATAGCGCTTCTTCTTCTTCTCTGCCATTTTTATATCAGCAAATTTGGGCTATGGTAGGTTCGCATACGATGAGTATGCGTCTGAGGAGGAGTCTGATAGCGAACCTGAATCATCTTCTAAGCAGTTGGTAAGTATTCTTTGATTTATTTTGTGGTGATTTTCTCATTTGAGTTTGTGCGATTTTAGGTAGTGAAGTAATTGGTATTTGAAATGATCTGAGAATTTTTCGTTTAAATTTCATTTGAATTACGTGGAAATGACGATGTAAACACTCCAAAGCTATTGTATCATTTTTTATTAAACAACTAATTTATATCCCTAAGTTGAGAGTGTTGATGCAAAATGCACCAGTAAATTTCATCAACTAGGATGAAATTGTAGCATTTCTTTTATTTGTTTACTTTTGTTCTGTACGGTAGTTGGCTTATGTTGTCCAATATGTCTCAGGCCTTGAGGTTAGATTCACAATTTGTAGTGAGACTCTGATTCTGTTTGACACTACGACTTTCAGCCACCATTAATCCCATGGCAGCAACCCACTTTATTGAGCATTCTTTGCCTAGCCTTTCACCAGGTAGGTGGTTATTTGTTTTTGGGCATCATTTTCTTTCCATTTAGCTATCTTTTGAATAATTACATGGTTTTACAGAGTAGAAGAAAAGCATGAGGGAAATTAGTCGTGGTGAGGTGGCAAAGGATTAAATATATGGATAGAAGTATCCATAAGAAGAGAAAATATCAGTAATCTGAGAAGCAATCTGTTCGTCATACTGCACAAAGATTTCATGAGAGAGCAGCATGTGAGCTCTTAGGTGACAATCAAAGTGGTATTGAAGGAACTTTACAACCTGAAAATTCAGATGATGATTGCGTCGTTCTAGACTGATCCTTTGGTAATTTTTCTTTTTTTTTTCCCACCAAATCTCCTACTTCTGTTTACACTTTGATCATTCAAATGTTTGACTCCTAAATGCTTGTCGATCTTAGTTTTATCTTATATTGTGATTATTTGATTCAAGTTAGAAAATTGCAAGGTTCAATTCATGGATGGTAATATTATGTTAAGTATTTTGTTATTATGGTGATTGGGGTAGATGCAATGATACAAAATTTACAAAATTCAGGGCTCATTGGTAATGCCTAGCAACCTTATTTTAAAACTCAAGCGAGTGGTGAAGGCATGGCAGAAGTAATATACATATTAATAATATTGACATATAATTTGCTTACATGGATTAACAAAGCCCATTTCTTTTCATTTTTCTTCCTTCACTATAACCCACTAATTTTACCGAATCAACATCTATCCCCTGCAAAATTATTTCTTTTTATTTTTCTTTCTCCAGTAAAACCCACTAATTCTACTGAATCAACACTTGTCCCCTGCAAAAAAACCACATCAACACTTGGCAACTCACTTACTCCCATCCATTCCCCAAAAACATTTGCTTGTAGTAGTAAACAAATTTCTTGCCCCCCACTAACAATTTTCAAGTCAATATTGAAAACAGAAATCTGACTTTTACACCACTAATTCTAAACTCTCATCATTTCTATCCACTACGCATCCAATCTCTCAATATATAAGACACCAAATAAAACCTTTACCCACTTCATCTTCTCTAGCTTCATTTCCTCATTTTTAACATCAACCTGGTAACTTCCATTCTTTCACCGAACAGCAACATTAACTGCAAACATTTTCACAAGCATTATCATATAGTTATGTTTCATTTTAACTCTTCATTTTTCTAACCATTCTCCTCTGCTAATCCTGTAAAACTAATTGCAGATATAGATGGCAGAATATAAACTCATACCTGACATCAAACCTGGAGAATCTGGCTGGACTGTAAAGGCAGTAGTTTCAGAAAAATGCTCTCCCACCAAAGGTAGAAATAGTCCATTAAAATACCAACACATTTGGTTAATGGACCCTAAGGTAACTCTCTTCACATAATTTAAGTTTCTTTATTTGAAACTTTGATCCACCATGAATTGTAAAAAAGATTTTGGAACTTAACTAAAAGCAGATAACACAGGTTTAAATGCATGCAACTTTAATAACTGCATATTCAAGAAACTCATACCTCTAGAAGCAATCTAGACGTTTTTAACCATGAACTGATGGACATAATTAATCATTCTACAATGCAATCACCTGAAAAATACATACCAAATCAAGAATGAGCATCTTCAACTACATGTCATATACCGTGTCAAAGATTTAAATTATCACCAATTGTCCTGACACAAACATGAAAATAAAAAATATGGCAGTACAAAAGTTTATCCAACATTTAATACTCCATTAGTTGGAACGTACCTTTAGTATCTAATTTCTTCTTACTGCCAATAATACTTTTCTGACATTTTTCAACAGTCTGGACCATGAAAATGCTTATGTAAACAATAGCCAGCTAATTTATAATCAAGATTCTTTAACAATTTTTGTAACACCTTCCTTAACAACTCCAAGTACAAGATTTTTTGTGAACTCATATCACTTGGGCCTGCAATAGTTTTTTCATTCTTGATAATCTGTCCTCCATTTTCTTTTCGAGTACTAGAGAAATTCTTCATAGAAACGGGCACTGGATAATACATATTCCACCACCAAAAACTGAAGCTAGCGTTCCTAATTCAATCATAAAATATACATTATATCACAAACCACAAAAGCGCACTATATTATTTAAGATCAACATCCTCATTTCCAAATTCCAAAAAATTTCCCTTCCCTTAAAATTATTCTCTACCCTACCTTCTAAGACACAATTTAACTTAGTTTTTATGCAGGGAAACAAAGTTCAGGCCATGTTATTCGACAGCTCGATCACAGCGTTCGAAGACACCTTACTACTGCACAAAACATACCTCATCTCAAATGCACAAGTTAAAGAAACAGATACATACTATAGAGCCCAGCTTGGTCACATTCGATGGACAATCAATGCAAAAACCAACATCGTTGAAGTCGACGAACAATTTAACTCCCTCCTTTCATCAACTTACAACTTCATATCATTCGAAAATCTTCAGCCATACATGGATACAAATGCAGAAATCATTAAGTACTTGCAATCCCATTAACATCTTACACTTTATTACTTTTATCTTAAACATAAATTACAACCTATACTCATTACTAGCCCATATTATTTCTTATAGGCATCATTGGAATAGCAGTCGACATCTTCCCCAAAAGAGTAATTCAAATTCGTGACAACCAATCAACAGTACAAGATGTCATTCTCATGAACGAAAGGTAAAGCATTTACTTTTATCACACATTTACTATTTCAAACCCCAAATTAACTCTTCTTAGTTATTACATATTAAATACAATTTGAAACATTATAGGTTCGAAACACGCATGCTTCAGATGTGGGACAATTTCGTTGCAAATGAATGTAATACCATCCACAACACAATCACCAAAAAACCAATTGTTGTGAGCAACAGATTAAGAGTAACTTCTTTCAATGATAAATTGACTCCTCCTCGTATAAAATCACACCGAAACATATGAATTTAGACCTTAAATGCAAAACCTCATTTGAATCTCTATTTAGGAATATCTGTCTCTACAAAAATGAACTCATCAATACTCATTAATCCCCCATTTGAGCAAGTTGTAGAACTAAAGCACTGGTACATTCTTTCATTTTTCCATTTATATACTTGTATCTATTGTAATTATTACTCATAATTTCCTTATTTACTTCTAACAATTTCATTCTAACATCAGGCTAGAAGAGAACATCATCACAATAAATGACATCGTGACAAGAAAAGCTTATATCTTCCCCCACATCCACCACAATTTCTTGCCCACCAGAAGAAAAGTTAGTCAACATCAAACAGCTACAACATATGGTACACCTTCTCACTTACATTTTATATCTATCCCTAACATTATATATTTACATATGTTACTGTACACATTGCAGCAACGACACTTCTGGACTAGAGCAAATGTCACATTGGCTGATATAGACCAACCACTATGGTATCTATCATGTGACAATTGCAACAAATCTAAAAGTGTAGCTGTAAACGAAACTTATTTTTGTAGATTTTGCAAGCACAACTATGTTACACCGACTCCAAGGTCAGATTATATTCATGTCACAAGTACATCATTTACATGAATAGATACATTATTCATCATCTAATGATAATCAAATACATCCCAAAACACTAACAATGATTCCACTTGTACTCTAACAGAGCAAGAGCAATCGTTCAGTTACAGGACTACACAGGCTCAATGACAGCATCAATTATTGGAAAATCGGCTGAAACATTCCTCAAATGCCCAGTAACAGAATTGATGAAACAAAGTTCTAATGTAACTATCTCAAAATTTCATTTTTTTGCCTACTATTTTCTCTCCAATAAATATACTATTAACTACTTCTAATGAACATTCCAACAGGAACATATGGAGAGCAGCTCTACAATTCCAGCAACAACTCCACGTGAGCACATCGTATACATCAAAGCTGGAAATATAGAGACAACCACTAACAAGCCACCATATGAAGTCATCTTCATCCTTGACTCACACCTCCAAGATGACAACCAGTTACCTGCCAACATCACACAACCAAGCACTACACATGAAGCTCCCAAACATGCAGATAAAAAACAGAAGCAAGAGTAGCTGTTGAAGACCTGAAAATACATATTTTGTATTTCTTTTGCACACTTGTGTCCACAATCCAACAGACCAGATTCCCAGCATCTCTATCTGCCATACTAAATTTTGTTCATTGTCCATATTAACATATTAGAAACCATGTACCCAAATACGGCATGTAACATCTCTGTGTATGGCACCTAAGAACTCTGTTTTGTACTTCATATTACTATTGCCAATGTAACTACTTGTGGACACATTTTATATAATCTAATGTAATCATCCTTCTAATCATATCTTCTTTTCCATTAAGATACCACAAGACTGAATTTTAACATTATTACTTACACTGCATTACCCACTGTACGTGCAACGCACGGCCCGTCGCTAGTTGTTTTGAAAAGTTTGGGACCACAATTAAAATAAATTCTTTAATTTTTCCAGTTAAAATAAATTCTTTAATTTTTCTTCTCTCCTTTTTGTTTTGTTTAAAGAGAGGGAACATATCGTTATTTCACAAGGCTTTAATGAGAAAAAGACAGAAAATGTTGCGTTCCACAAAGAAAAGTTCATCTAGGAAAGTTCTGTGCCAAAATGAAAGGATATGGATGTATTTTGCAATGGGGCAAAGGTCACGAGTGTTTTGTGCCAATCACCAATATAAACACTATGTAACCTCAATTTTATTAAATATCAAATTTTCAATTGCAAAGATTTTATGAAATATACAAATTTCAACCATTCACCATAAAAGATGAGTCATGCTAGGATGGGCAATCAAGCTTGATAATCCACGATGATTGTCTCAACTTACTTTTTTGTTTTCTGTTGCAGTTTTAATACATCAGATGTGTTAACATGCACTTTTTTTTTGTCCTAATATCATTTTTTTGTTTGTATTGTAGTTCACCATTTCAACTTGCGTATAATTTTGAAATTTTGCTCGACTATATAGTTGATAGCTTTCAATCGATAGGCAAGTCTTTCTATTTGTTGAGATTGTCTTTTATTTTCTTGCTTTTGATTCATTATACAAGTTATACTCATCTGTCTTTCTTGGATAAGCATTTTATTAATTACGAAGGCATATTGAACGCAGAAATGGAGAAATGGATGAAAATGATTTTTATTCAACTTAACAGCAAATACAATCCATCTAGCTATAAATAGCAGTCCAAAAGAATGTTAAAAACAGAAAATTGGTTACAAAATCTAGCTATCTTTTAACAGTGTCAACAGCTTAACCGAAAGAGGAACTATATAGAATCTAGAAACTAACTATATACACTTGAGGCTTTGTTTGATTGTCATTCTTTTTAAAATACATTTTTTCTCTTTTTTCTTTTCACCCACACACTATCCACTAAAATAATATTACATGTAAATAAAAAAAAATTCTTCATTTTTCAATCACATATTTCTCATTCATCTATTATTCTAAAATGCATTTTTTTTTCATAAAGATGAGGCTCAAACACCCTCAAATATGTAAAAATGGTGAAAAAGGCGGAATGGAGCCGAGTAACGAGTTTAACATTGCAACACCTGCGCCCATCAGGGGATTATCGGAAGGTAGGATTCGAAGGGGATAAAAAAATTTCATTTGCCATCCGTTTTATTTACTATTTTTTAATATAAGTTTCTTAAACACAATTTTTTTTTATAATCATGCTCTTGTCCTCCTTCCATTCAAGATGGGTCAAGACGATGAGAGGTAGGATCGAAATTTTTTGAGGAAGTTACCTTAATTTTTTTTAAAAAAAATTTAAAAGAGGTTTTTATCCAAAAATACTTCTAGAGAAAATTATATTGAATCAACTTCTTTTGATTAAAAGAAATACTTTTTTTCAAATTAAACAAGCGAATTCAAAAGTAATTTTTAAATTTCAAAAGTTCTTTTTGATTTGTCAAAAATCATGTCAAAGGAACGCTCAAGACTTGAACCAAAAATGCTTTTAAAGAAAATTATATTGAACCAACTTCTTTTAATTAAAAGAAATGCATCTTTAAAATTAAACAAGCAAATTCAAAAGTAATTTTTGAATTTCAAAAATTCTTTTTGATTTGTCAAAAATCTTACCAAACAAATGAACCAATCTACTAGAATTGGGTCTTTTGACGGGATGTCAAATCGGCTTGGTGGTTCAGGCAGCTCCGGAAACGTCTGAGCCGGCCCATGTGGCTAGTGTCACGGGCCAAAAATGGCGCGTGACAAGGCCCGAAATTAAATAATAATAATAATAATACACACACACACACTCTTTCTCTCTAAAATCAAGAATAATAAGGCAGCTGTAATGCTGCCATTACAGGCAGCTTTATCTGTAACGACAGCAGTTTACTATATTGTTTCCTACTGATACCTATGGTTTTCTATTGTTTTTTACAATTCAATTTATGAGACTATGAAAATTTTAAATTTTGAGGTAAAATATATTTTTTTGGCTATGAATACGAGGTAAATTTTTAAATTTCAAATCGATTTGTTTCAATCGATTTTAACTTATAGTATTATATATTCAAGTTTCAACTTCAATTTCTTTACTCACAATCTCATATTCAATTTTTTTTTACTCTAATATTCAGTGTTCTATACTATATTAGTTATAAATGGATTTTACTAGTAATGAGCTTAATCAGTTTAAGGGTAGTTCGAGTACTCCATTCGGTTACGACGATACATTTCGAAATGTTCCAATTGATTTGGAGAATATTGAAGAGGAAGAAATACTCGAAGTTAAAAGGTTGAAAAAAGAATCATCGGATTGTTGACAATATATGACACGTAAAAAAATTGGTGCTCAAAATGAAGTGGATATTTGAAAAGCATGTTACAATTACCGTGGCAAAGAATTTAGTTGGAAATTCAATTCGAGCACAACACATTTGAATAGACACGTATTAAGGAGTTTCAAAGCAAAACCAGTCAATCTCGACCCGAAACAGACCAAACTAGTATTTGGCAGTTCTTTTTCTACTCTTTCCACCTTCGTATATTCACAAGAAAAATTTCGTGAAAGAATGACTGCATATGTGGCTGCAGCAGAAATGCTGCTTACGATGATAGACACAGTACACTTTACCTTACTCGTGCAGAAATATCTCTAATCCAGGTATTCTTCTTATTATAGAAATATTTTTTGTTCGGATACTATAAAATTATATAATAAAAGAAAACAAGTTGTTATTGAAGGTTTAAAAACTTTTAATAGTGTTATATCATTTACATTTGATTTATGGACTTGTGGTAATAGAAAATGTTATATTGCTGCTACAGTTCATTACATTGATCACCTGTGGCTTTTATATAAAATAATTATTGCATTTAGATGTGTAGAATATCCTCATAATGTCACTAATATATACATGATTTTAAAAGAAATCATACAGGAATATAGCATGCAAGATATAGTTCGAAATTTTACTTTTGATAATATTAGTGTGAACAAAGTTGCTATCGAAAATTTTATTAATGATTTTAACCCCACATTTGGAACTTTATTTTTCATCAACGTTGTGTATGTCATATTATCAATTTGATTGTAAAGGCTGGATCAGACATATAACTTCTCCTTTAGAGGAAATCAAACAAACAATAAATTTTATTACTGTGTCACCAATAAGAAAACAAACATTTAACAGATTTTGCGCAGAATATGACTTACAGGAGAAATCATTCGCCATTGATGTAACATATAGATGGAACTCTACATATCTTATGTTACATTCGTATGAAAATTACGATAAAGTGATTTCATTATATTATAATGGTAGGCATACATACGGACCTGATCATAATTTAGAAGATTGAAAATGGTCTCTTCCATTTTGCGTGAAAAAAATTTTAAAATTTTTTTCGATATCACAAATGAATGTAGTGGAGTTTATTACCATACATCTTCACTTATTTTACAACTTTTTTTTTACATTTCACAAATACTTCATAAATACATGATTTTGCCATTTTTTATTTGACTTAGTGTGCTCTATGAAGTTAAAATTTCTTAAATATTGGGAAGAGTTGTCCTCTTTATTTATTTTATCGTTATAATAGACCCTCGACTTAATTTGAATGGCACCATAGCCACCGTAAAGGGAATTTCAAATTTCATGAATGTGGAATCATCACACGTGAATATAGAATCGTTGTTATGTGAAATGTGTAATTATTATGCTGAAAAAGAAAGCCGTTAGAGTTCTACTTCCCAAAATTTATTTTCAAAAAATATTTCAACAAATTTAAATAATTTATGGAATTATTTGGAAAGCAATACAAGTGTCCCCTCATTTATTTCTAGTTCATCAATATCTAGAGCAATAAATCTCGGTGGTACAAATCTTGAAATTTCATCTGAGTTAGCTAGGTATATATGTATGGACGTTCATAGTGTGTTACCTGAAGAAGAATTACAGAAATTTAGTCTTCTAAATTGGTGGAGGTATAATAAAAGACAATATCCAATTGTATAAAAAATCGTACGTGATCCAATAGCGCATTCGGTGTCTACAGTAGCATCGAAGGCTGCATTTAGTTTAGGTGATCGAATTTTATCAGACGAACGTTCAAGACTAAAAGAAAATATATTGGAGTCTTTAATATGCTTGAAGGATTGAGAATATGTAGAATTACGTGTTCAGGAACATGTTGATAGTATACTGGCCGAAAAGTTGCATCAAATTCAAACATAGAATGTTATAAATTTTTAAAATAATTTATTTCATAAAAAATGTAATTTTTAAATTTATTTGTTTAAAAAAAATGTACATGAAATATTTTATTCATGTACAATTTTAACTCCTCTTACGTCATGTAGCTGGTCCCAAACCTGAAAAAATGAGGAAAGTTGTAAGTTGTAAATTTTATTTAATTTGTAATGCAATTTTATAAGTTGTAATTTTTATTTGATTTGTAACTCGTATAAATTATGCAATTTTTAAATTTTTAAGAAAATGTTAGATTCGTAATCTTATAAAAAAACGAACCGGCCCAGCTCGGGCTCGGCTCGACAAGGCCCGAGCCTTGTTTTTTCGGTCGAGCTTCCGCTCGTCTTAGCTCGGGCTCGAAAAAAGTTCGTTTGATTTTTCTCGAGCTGAGCCCGAGCCTCGAGTTTCGACTCGCCAGCCGGCTCAACTCGACCGTTGACATCCCTAAACTCACTTTATAGAGCATGTAGTCAGTACTTTGGGACGCATGTTCATGTCTAGATGTGATTTTGCATCACTTGTAGATAGTTATAGGGTTCAGTATGTATTTTGAATCTATATGTATATTTCATGTTATTTTTTGGTAAAAGTTAAGATTTCGACTTATTTCTATTGTGTTGTGTTATAGTGTGGGATTTGTGTGTAATTGATCATAGGTTAGTTAGTCCTATTTATAGAGGAGATAATACCGAAATTCTATTAAAAATGATGTATAAAAAGTGGTAGATATTACTTGTAGTAGCCTTGATGGTGGGTCCGACTTTTAGTTGGTATCTATCATCGGCACATGTCACGTCCGGGTCCAGTAATGTTACACGGGACAAGGTGTGTCAGTTTGGTATCAGAGCAAGCTTTAGAGTCTATAGGTATGCACTGTACATAAATACATTCTGATATTTAGCATATCATGCATAACTATAGGTGAGTCACGTCTCATGGTGGCAAAACTCGATGGCTCTAATATATGTTGTCCCAGTCTCACATTGCTCCTAATAGAGATGAACAGAGAGGGCTTGAGAGAGTAGAAGAATCAGTTCACCAACCTCCTGAACAACAAGGACAAGGAAATGTGATTGGAACTGATCCTATGGCTGTTGAAAGAATTGCTATTGCTGTTGCCTCAGCTATGCATAGTACTGACAAAGATTTCAGTATTAAGAGGGCTACAAAATTAAGGGCTAAAGTTTTCACTGGCACAGCAAATCCTGTAGTTGTTCAGGCATGGATGACCAAGAAAGAGAAGGTATTTGATGTTATGGGTTGCTGAGATGATCGGAAGTTGCGTCTTGCCACTTTCTTATTGGAGAAGGGTGCATATGATTGGTGGCAGTCGGTACGGAGTATATATCTAGACCCTTCTATCATTACTTGGATGGATTTTCGACGTATCTTTTATGATGCCTATTACCCTCGATCATATAAAGATGTAAAGCATGAGGAATTTTTTAAGCTAGTACAAGGGCAGATGACAGTTGCAGAATATCAGGTGAAATTTATAGAACTTTCAAAGTATGCCCAAGTTCTGGTAAGCAACAAAATTGATAAATGTAGATGATTTGAAAATGGGTTAAGGGAAGAAATCCGATCAGTAGTAACAGCTACATGCTGGAATGAGTTTGGCAAATTGGTAGAATTAGCTTTAAGAATAGAAAAGAGAATTTCTGGTAGGCCAAGTGGTAGAGAGCAAACAACGTTCAGGGCAAGCAGTAGTCAAACAATGGCGAATGCTTCTAACTATAGACCACCTCAGAGGGACAGTAGAGGATTTTGACCCGGTGTATGAGGTTCTTTTAAGGAAAATTCTTTATGATGCTCTGATTTTAGTAGAATATTCTTTCCTTGCTCCTGGGAGTTTGGCTCAAGTATCAGCAAAGCATACCAAAAATATCACCTTAGGAAAATTGATGGTTACCCATGAAGCCATAGAGTATTTCAGGTTGGCATGGACGACGAATTAATATTGTTTAAACATTTTCTATCAAATCTTAGATTGAAGGGTGTTTAAGTTATATGTTTTATTTCAGGGAATGTGCAGACCATAACAAAGCCATCTCCTATTCGAATGCATTTGCTAATTCTAGTCTACCCTCTGAACTTCTTAAATGGATAAAAAACGAGACTGGTAGTGAAGTTACTAACAGTGGCCCAAATGGATCGTCGCCAAAAGCATTTTTAAGTAAGTAGTTTTGATAACATTTATCACTTGTATTTGACTGATATATTTTACTAAGTGACCTTCGAAACTATCCAGGATGGATGCTAAATATAGAGAATAGAGGGATAAGGATATTTGATGAGGATATGTCAAAATTTCGTGCCAAATTAATATCTGATAATTTGAAAGAAGACTTGGAGATGCTTGGAAATAAAGGAGAGGGGAAGGCATTAGATACTGATCTTTTTTACATAGACAACAAGGGAGAAAACGATGGAAATGAGGAAGATGAAAACACGAGTGAATCCATGAGTGCTGCGTTCATGGCCGCTGCTCATTCAATGCAATCTGCAGAACATGGAGGAACAAAACGACGAGCTAAAAAATCTGAAAAGAGAAAGAGGGTGAAGTTCCTCAAGTATAGCCTGGCTGAGAATTCTGAGAGCTATACATTTCCAAGCAACGATGGTGGGAGTGATGTTGAGAATCCATCCTCTGATGAAGAATTGGAAGTACGGTAACAATGAAGAACTTGAGGTAGAAATAATGGCTATATACATTCTACAGTGACTTTTATGCACTATTTGCAGACACAATGACACGGTTGACTTTTGTTTGGGTCGACTTTGTTTGCGCCCAACCGTCTGTCGATGAGAGATGAGTTTTGGGGATTTTAATTTTTGTAGTACATGTTTGTCAGATTGAAATATACACAATAAAATTTTGTTGTAAAATTAGTTAATCTAGAGTTGGTGTTGAGCATAGAAGTTTTAACTTGTTAATTACTGCATTTCTAATATTTGAAATGCCAAAAAAACTAGAGTGGTCGTTTAACCAATATAAAATTATTCAACAAATGGACCAATCCGTGTACTGAAGGATCAAGAAAGTTGTGCAAGCCCCATAATTCCTCGCAATGGAAATTTTCTTCCCTAAATTAACCAGCATGATGTAGACTAATAATTTATATAATTGGTAACTCCTTATTTAAAGCTTGTACATTCTTTAGTGCAGATGGAGAAGTACTGAATCTAAACACTTGCCCAGCTGACAATGAATGTTTTTTTTTTCTTTAGAACTTCGAATCACAAGAAGGAAATATGCATCAACCTTCATATAGCAGCTGCTCGACCAAGCAACCAATTACCACCCTAAAAGCGTAGCCACTCGCCTTCTCTAAAGGAAACTACAATATCAAAACTCAATTATTATCTGGCAAGTGGTAAGCTCAATTTTGGTAGGCAGGTTAGATTTCTTCATTTGCAGAAGGAATAGTAGTCTTCGGTATGGGCCAAGGTGCACCTACCATGACTGCCTCAATCTCTTGTATATTCTTAAAGTTTGTTATAATATTGATACTAATTTTTATCATTTTTATTTTTCTCCTTTCGGAGCTGTGATAAATTAAACTAGATAAGTCACATACTACAAATACAAAAGTAGATACTATTTATTTTCTGTAGTCACTTTATCATAATATGGCTTCAACCATTATTAAATTAATTTAACAGATTTCAGCATAGAAAGAAAAAATCTCACTAGTTAACCAAAATGATATCACATATTATATAAGTCCCAAAAATATAAACCCTCTTTGAATTTATGACAGAGTACTGAACTAAGGTAGTGTTTGATACCTCTAATTCCATGAAAAATGGAAATTCATTTCCACCTTTTGTCAAAAATGAGTGTTTGCTAGGTAAAAAAATTTGGGGAATTCATTTTCCATGATTCTTGCCACCTAAGAAATTTTCCAACTTTTCCTTGATTTGGAATTCTCACCAAAATGGGGAGAATTCTAATTTCGGTTTACCATAGTGGAATTTTTTTTTTCAATTTTTTTTTCATTTTATTTTATTTTATTTTATTTTTTTATTTTTTGCAATGGAAACAAATTCTATGAATAATTGTAAAAAAATATTTTCCTTTAATTGACAATTTTCATGTAAAATAAAGTCAAATGAACATCAAAAGATAGATGATTTTCTTGAAATTTTATTTTATTTTTTGGGTTGGCAATGGAAACAAATTTCATTTCCAATACCAGTAAAATATATCGCTTTAATTGATAATTTTCATATAAAACAAAGTCAAAGGAATATCAATGAAAAAATAAAGTCAAATGAACATCAAAAGATAGATGATTTTCTTGAAATTTTATTTTATTTTTTGGGTTGGCAATGGAAACAAATTTCATTTTCAATACCAGTAAAATCTATCCCTTTAATTGATAATTTTCATATAAAACAAAACCAAACGAATATCAAAAAACATTTTTATTTCAACATTTTCCATTTGAAAAATTATACCAATCAAACACAATAATTTACAATTCTCAGAAAAACAATTTTTGAGCAATTTAATTCTCTGAAATTCGTTTTCAATTCAATTAAATTTCATCTTTATAATCAAACGAATCCTAAGAAACACAAACAGTTCTATTCACAAAAGATTTAAACGAATCTAGATCAATAAGTTCAAATTCAAGGTGGGCACGAAGACTGCCATATGAGAAGACCAACTTTTCGCAAATTGTTCACAAGATGATATTGGATTCGATCAGTTAGTCGAGGTTTTTTTTTTTTTTTTTTTTTTTTCCCCCCCCTTAGAAAGGCTTAAGACCTCTCAAATATTGTATTCTCCTAACTTGTAAAACCCACTATTCAAGGAAAAGATTTCAGGCCAAAGAGAATGACTTCAAATTTTGTACAAATAAAAAAGTTTGTACAAATAAAAAAGAAAACTTCAAGTTTTTTATTGTGTCATATTCTTAAGAGATCATCATATTGGAAGATTCAGATGTTGAGATTATGCTTCTTCAAGAGCATCAACTTTATACTTTTAAAATACTAACATATCAATTTGTACCTCTTTAAGAACAATAATAAATAAAATTGAGTTTCTTTACGTTAATTCAATATTCTTTTAGAATATTTTTAATATGTAATTTGTTAATTTTTCAAGAAATTCTTTAGAATATTATGTATTCCTTACATTTGTGTTTGCTATTAATCATTTTCAAGAAAATTTTCCGGCGACAGGCTCCTATTTACTCGAAGCTTATTGAAGTTATAGGATGGATACTTAAATAAATATTATGCTCATCCTAGACATGCATTATATGATTGTTTGCAGGAAGATTGATATCATCCCTATTGATGATGAAAATAAATTTAAATGTGCAAGCTTTCTCGGCATTTTTGGATGACATTTATGTCTGTCGAATATTCTTTTTTAAGGTCAACTAAAAACGAACAAAAGGAATTTCTTGGTGCATAGAATGTTGCAACTAACTACTAGCTTAGTAAGCGGATCAAACTCTTTGTTAGGTAACTAGAATGGAAGGAAGAGAGAGCATTGGTATGAATACGAGGGGATTTTTAAAAGAAAATAGTTCACCCCACTCAAAGAAAGGCTTGAATAATAGATAGGACTTTATGCATAAGTTCTACTAGCTATTAACTATGCAAATCAGATCAAGAAGAGATAGAGAAGACCAGACAAGGGCACCCCTCACTAAAGCTCTTGGATTTCGCAAATGCAACTGTAGTCGCCTTACTTGCACTTCCAAAAAGTATTGCATGTTCTTGCTAGTAACAACAACAAAGTGTCAGTGTCTTCGACCAAGTGTTACACATTTTCTAGGTCCGAAGGAATCTAATGCCCAACTATTGACTCCATCTGAAATTGCGTTATTGGAGCCAAGTCAGGAATGGCCATTAGTAGACACCCACAACTTTTAATAGTAAGAGAGGCCCTCTTATATACATTAAGATAAGAATAGATGTTCACATGGGCCAAAATGACTTGGTCATAGGACATTAGCAGGGATGACAAAAAAATTCGTTCAATCCGATATCCTTAGGACCTCGCCCTGAATCGGACGGGTAATACCAACTTAATAAGGTACATGGAATGGGTATCGAGCGAGAGTTATTACCCCGAAATGGGTATGGAACGGGTACGGTAAATATAGTTCCTGTCCCATTATCCGCCCCATTTAATATTAATTTCAAAATTAAGTTTTTATCAAACAAAAATAATAAATTTATCATTCTTTTTAAAGAGAACATAAGTTGTTTTTAATAAATTGGTAAAAAAACAATATTATTTACAAACTAAGGACATAAAAAATAAAACAAAAAAATAAATGGGACGATAAATGGGACGAGAGACTTGCCCCCGCTCCGATCCTGTCCCATCTCGCTTTAACCAGGTATGGGTATAGGGTAAGATAACAAAAATACTCAACGAAATGGGAGTGATAATGATCGACCCGTCCCATACCCGTCCCGTTGCCATCACTAAAATTTAAACGCAACTGGTTCATGAACAGTGTCAGTGTGGGGAAAAAGAGCTGCATTTAAGGATAGATATGGAGGCCATATTTTCTTTGGATCATAATAATGTATTTCCACATAGGAAAAGTCTTTTTATAATGAATGCCTTAACCATTAGGGTTAAGTCCCAAAGGCTTTTCGTTTTCCAGCCTATCTCGGCATTTGAGCTTAACCCCATCTTTTCGACCATGACATAGTTCGGAAAATTGGAACCATTCTTCTCGTCAAAGGTTTAAATTTATTCAATTTATTTTTATGAATGACAATACTCTTTTTAACTATATTTATCCTTTTCTCTTGTCCTATTACGTTGTTTGAAAAATGGATTTGAGTGATAACTTTAAAATCAAATTTATCAACCTTATAAGAAGTTGGACGGAGTAACGACAAGAAATGGAAGAATAAACAGCGTAGAAATAATATTAAAACGTCAATTAAATTGGACAAATCAATACCAAAGAAATGAATGCAAAGTTAAGGTAAGAGTTGAACTCATTGTATTTAAGTGCCTGCAATAGTGCTTACGGATGAATGTAATTAACTTCTAAGATACAACGACCAACTTCTTCTTTTTATAGCACTTCAAAACATAGGAACATCGAATCAAATTATGGCTTTTGTATTCCTTCTAAATGAAATGAAAACAAATTTTTATGCAGAATTTTGAGGAAATATGAATATTTATGTTATGCTATGATTGCTTATCATTGGAATGAAGTAAATGACATCTTAAGGGTCTAATTTGTAGAGGATGAAAGGTTGTGAGTGAAGAGACACACCCTCAAAACTTCCCAATTTTTGTCAAGGATTGCAGTCTTTATTGTCGCTCGCCTGTCGCTTAAGCGACAGTCTTATCACCCTCTCACTGTTCAAGTGATAGGCAAGTGGTGGAGTTGGGCAAATACCCGGCAAATTTTTCTCTTCATTCCAAGCTTGAACCATAGTTTATCATTCATTCAGAATTGATTTTGAAATTTCAAACATACGACACCGATTTACTCGATGAGCAGAACAAGTTAGTTTATTTATTTTCATAATTTGACTATCAAATCAAGTCCGAATATTGAATCGAAGCTGGCACAAAAAATCATCTTACCATGATTTTATGTTTAACCAATTCCAACAGCTTCTCGGGTAAACAATGTCTTATTTCCTGAATCCAAGAATGACCAACTCAAAAGTTTGAACTTCAAGCCAATACAGCTTACATTTCTATCAAATTATTACAAGACTTCAATATTTTTAAGAATTTCCTAGAAACTATATCAAAATAACTTGTACTTGGGTTAATATATACAAATCAGGGCTAAATCCCTTTTATTTTGGACTCCACAGGCTCACTCAAACAAGCAAAAGGTACTTATACTCTCTTCGTCTCATAATTTGTGTAGACAAATTACGTCATTTTCCTTGTTGAATATAGACGAAATTCTTTTAATATGTTCATATTTAACATGTCTTGTTATGTTGTCAACAAATATGAACAACTCTTATTTAAATCATTATATTTAATATAAGGATAAATTAAAAAAATATAAGAAAATTATATTTTTAAGTACATTAATTATATATATATTTTAATATGTATAAAAATAAAAATTAGTCTAAAACCCTTTAACCGATGTAAGGTTTCTATGTCCGTTAAATAACATGCAAGAAACATCTCCAATACAACGATGTCCATTATTGTTAATGTGGGAAAATAAAATGAGGATGGAGCTCCAATGAAGCTGCTCTAATCTATTTATTTCCCCAAATGATAATTTGCTTGAGCCAGGCTGAATCAAACCCCAGCTCTTTGTTCTCTGGTCTCTTCTCTTTGGTCGAATCAAAATTGAACCCCACGAACCCTCGGCTCGTGACTCTCACTTGGATTTTAGAAATTCAGGTAATTATAGTTTGTTTTCTTTTTGCAGTTTTAAGATTTTGAATTCTTGGAATTTTGCTGCTTGTTGCAGTTGGGAAACTTTATATTCTAGGGTTTTTATTGGAGGTTTTAACGTATCTCTGTTTCATCGCTTTTTTGTACAAAAGACTTTGCTCCGTTTTCGTGCGCTCGCTGAGTAATTTTGTATTTTTTTTATTTACTTTCTTGATTAAAATATTCCCATAGTTTGATTTCTGTAATTCTTTTGACTAACTGATTAGGTTTTGTGTGGATATATTTTTCTATTTATGACAGGATAAAAGAATTATATAGAGAGAGATGCCATTTTTTTTTTTATATATCTTATAAAGAATCTGGCTCTGGGTTAATATGACTTTCACTTTTGTATAGATTGGGGAAAAAAAAGAAAAAAGGATTATGTGTCAGGAATTGAATTTAGTTCCTCTCACCATACCATCAGGAAATGTGTGAACAAAGGTTGGGAATTTAAGATATTGTCAGGAATTGAATTTAGTTCCTCTCATCAAACTATCAAGAAATGCGTGAACAAAGATTGGGAATATAAGATATTAAACATTTGAGATTTGAAATGAAGCATAATATTTCATGACGGTTTCACATTTGGTGGTGAAATCTGCAACAAATTAGCAGAATGTCTGTATAACTTTTGTTTTTTGAGGTTCTGCAGTGCTTACAAACTGCACAAAACTTCTTTTTCCTTGCACAAAACCTGTAAGCTCAGCTTTTCACATATTGTTGATTAAGGTTAGAACTTTAATTTTTAGATGCTACGTGTCTTTAGAAAGATATGTAAACAATTAATTGCATTATATGTCATTGTTATTTCACCCACTTTGGGGAGCAAGTCAAGTGATTTTAGTGTCTACATCTCATATGCAAATTTATAGATAGTTCAGATGCATGCTACCTGAATATTTTCCTTCTTCTTAGCGTTCTTCTGGATGTTAAACCAATTTTAATCACAAACTGGTTTAGTTCCTGTTTTAAAAACTTAAAAGAATAATAATAATTTCTAGTCCTCCAGTTGTAAATTCCTGGCAGTTTATTTTATATTGGCAGGTATGATTTTTTGGGCCTGTGTTACTCAAAATCTGCAATCTGTGTTTCATTTGGGATCTCATTTCCAAGAAGAGGACTGTAAATTTTTTAATCAATTGTTTTTCAAGGTGATATCTCAAGTTGTATGTAAATAAAGAATGATAATTGGGATTAACTAAAATTGGGGCAACAACATGACTTTATTTAAACTTAGGTTTGATGTTTTAAAGAACTTTGAATGAAGCAGTTATATTTATTATGTGTTATAGAGAATTTTGTAGTTCCAGTAGTGGAGGTTTATTGAAGTATGTCATGATGATTCTGTATGTTTGAAAGGAATTTGTTATTTTCTTGAGCCCTTTTTATGTGGGCAGTACTCAAAAGAATCTCAAGGAATTGAATGCTATTAAGTACAATAGTATTCTCCGGGTGATATATCTTTTTGTAGTTCACTCCACTATGATGTGACCTTTTTTCATCATGAAACTACATTGAAGTCTGGAGATGTCAAATGATAAGTGGGTTGGGACTAGTAAACTTAGTGCCCGTTTGGCCCTCATTATTCAACATTATAATGAAAGGAATAGTAATTTTTTGGAGAACGTGGGGTTAAAAAGGAATGAAAATTTTTTGGTTCACGTGTAATATTATTTTATTGGTGAATGTGTAATTAATTAGAAGAGAGAGAAAAATAAAATATAATTTAATGGGGAATAATGGGGGCCAAACGGTTGCTTAGTGCGCTTCATTATAAATATCATTTTTGAATTCAATAAAAAAATGTAAAATTAGAAAAGAATAATAATTAAAAAAGAACTCCCTAATACTTATAAAAATAAAAAAAACCAAACTCCCTAATCTTTTTTCCGTTAATTGTGGAGAAATGGTGAAAACGACCACTTAATAAGCAAAATAAAAAAAATAAATAAATAAAAAAGCAAGAAAAGAACAATTCTTGCTCTAAGCTTACTGCTCACATTACTTCCATTACTGCTGTTTGTGTAATTTTGGTTGGTTCTCAGAGATTTTATATTCCAGAATTGTGTATATTTGATTATAGGAATATTATGCTTGCGTATGGTGCAACCAATAGCACGAGTTTGCTTAATCTGGTGTAGACCCACATCTCCCCACCAGATTATCTAGTTAAGTCTGGATACTATTAATTTACCGATTAATCTAGTCGGTGTAGTCAAAGCCAAACTAAGTATTGGATAACCTTTATTCTTTATCCAAATATGGTGTGCTAAAGAGACCCTGGATGTTTTACCTGAAATATCTAATGATATTGTGGTTATAATTCTTGTTTGATAGATACTAGGAGAAATTCTTAGTGAATGCTTATTTATTGTTGATCAGACTTCTCAGAATCGCATTTAAACTCAATTTCTTTTTTTTATAAGTTTTAACTTTTACGTGAAGGTTGTTATGAAGTTAAGGATATAATTTTTGTTTGTTAGAAAATAGTCACAGATTGTTTGCTGTATTCATAGTTTTGGTTAAACTCCTCGGAGTTGAATTATAAAACTAACTTATTTCTTATATGTTCTATGTGAAGGTTCTCATGAAGTTGAGGTTGCTAGTTTGTCGGGAACTAGGTTAATAATTGTTCATTGAATTCATATTAGGATAAAAAATCTTCTCATAATTGCATTTAATCATTATATTTATTCCTTGAATGTTATACCTGTATGTTCCTACGAAGTATTCTCCTTTTTCCTTGGTTCTTCCCAGAAAATTTCCTGTATCAGCTTAACAGGTTTCTTCTTTTATTTTAAGCGAATTATTCCTTTTTGCAGCTCAAATTATTGACCAATCAAAAATTCCAATGGGATACCACTTAAATAAGACTAGAAAATCCGGAAAGAAAAAACTCTCATTGGAATCCTCAACCTCCACTGATAATTCCTCTGCCACATCATCATCACCGTCCTCCTCTGATGAATTTGAGTCCTCAAAACGGCACAAACGCACCCATAAACGACGACATGGTAAAGACCGGGATGAAGGGCGTAAAAGCAAGAAATCACGAAGAGATTATAAAGAGAAGAACAAGAAGACGCATACTAAAGAAACAAGAAAGGAGAAAAGAAGAGAGAAAAAGAAAAGAAGGTATGAGTCAGATGACCAAAGTGGGTCCGAGTCGGAGGATTTGGAGCCCAAGAGACAGCAAGAGGTTACACACGTTGTGGCTAAATATATATTAAATGAGTTTTCAGGTGTTGCTGGGGACTTAGAGCAGGTATTTACTAGTAAGCTTTTTATGCTTAGCTTAAAAATGAATAATATTAATTTTTTGTGTTTGATTATAGTGATTTAGTATCTTTTTCGCTTTTTGAAAAATCTAACAGTTCACTTCTTCATTGAATCAATTGGCTTTACTGTTTGTTATGTAATGGGTGTTTGAAATAAAGTTACTTTATCTGTAACAAATACTGGGATTTTGTTGTGGAAAAATATATGGACATCTTAATGAATAAAAAAGATATATATTTTTGCTTCTTTTACAATTTGACTCTTGATAAGTTGGTCAAAAAAAGAAAAAAATGAGCCCGAGTAGTAATGTTAGCTGAAGAAAAAATGATAAGCATAAAAAGGAAAGAAATTAGGTTGCTAGATGTTGGTGAAGGCAAATGAAAATTTTTATAAAGTCCAGAAAACTACGTCAATTTGTGCTTTACCAATATAGTTACTCTACACTATTGATTATTTGTTTCAGTCATATTTTGTGCTGTTGGTCTCTAGATCAAGGCAATTAGAGGATTTTGTCCCACTTTATTGAGTGATTAATAGATAGACTTGGTGCTAATTCTATATTTGCATTATCTGCATAAAATAGAGAATGTTTGGTTAAGGTAAAATTTTTTACTTATAAGATCACTTTGAAGTAAATAAGTAATTATTTTAATTGATCAAAAAAGAAAATTAGTTATTTATTTTGAGGACATGGTAAGAGTTACTTTCAAAATAATTTTTAGTTTTTTAAAGCTTAGCCAAAGCGAGCTAAAAAATCTGAAATGAGAAAGAGGGTGAAGTTCCTCAAGTATAGCCTGGCTGAGAATTCTGAGAGCTATACATTTCCAAGCAACGATGGTGGGAGTGATGTTGAGAATCCATCGTCTGATGAAGAATTGGAAGTACGGTAACAATGAAGACCTTGAGGTAGAAATAATGGCTTTATACATTCTACAGTGACTTTTATGCACTATATGAAGACACAATGACACGGTCGACTTTTGTTTGGGGCGACTTTCTTTGTGCCCAACCATCTGTCGATGAGAGATGAGTTTTGGGGATTTTAATTTTTGTAGTACATGTTTGTCAGATTGAAATACACATAATACAATTTTGTTATAAAATTAGTTAATCTAGAGTTGGTGTTGAGCAAAGAAGTTTTAACTTGTTAATTACTGCATTTCTAAAAATTGAAATGCCAAAAAAGCAGAGTAACCAATATAAAATCATTCAACAAATGGACCAATCCGTGTACTGAAGGATCAAGAAAGTCGTGCAAGCCCCATGATTCCTCACAATGGAAATTTTCTTCCCTAGATTAACCAGCATGATGTAGACTAAGAATTTATATAATTAGTAACTCCTTATTCAAAGCTTGTACATTCTTTAATGCAGATAGAGAAGTGGTGAATCTAAACACTTGCCCAGCTGACAATGAGTGTTTTGTTTTTTTCTTTAGAACTTCGAATCACAAGAAGGCAATATGCATCGCCCTTCATATAGCAGCTGCTCGACCAAGCAACCAATTACCACCCTAAAAGCGTAGCCACTCGCCTTCTCTAAAGGAAACTACAATATCAAAACTCAATTATTATCTGGCAAGTGGTAAGCTCAATTTTGGTAGGCAGGTTAGATTTCTTCATTTGCAGAAGGAATAGTAGTCTTCGGTATGGGCCAGGGTGCACCTGCCATGACTGCCTCAATCTCTTTTATATTCTTAAAGTTTGTTATAATATTGATACTAATTTTTATCATTTTTATTTTTCTCCTTTGGGAGCTGTGATAAATTAAACTAGATAAGTCACATACTACAAATACAAAAGTAGATACTATTTATTTTCTGTAGTCACTTTATCATAATATGACTTCAACCATTATTAAATTAATTTAACAGATTTCAACATAGAAAGAAAAAATCTCACTAGTTAACCAAAATGATATCACATATTATATAAGTACCAAAAAAATAAACCCTCTTTGAATTTATGACAGAGTACTGAACTAAGGTAACCTTCAATTCCATGGAAAATGGAAATTCATTTCCACCTTTTGCCAAAAATAAGTGTTTGATGGGTAAAAAATTCTAGGGAATTCATTTTCCATGATTCTTGCCACCTAAGCAATTTTCCCACTTTTCCTTGAATTGGAATCCTCACCACTTCCACTTTTCCTTGAATTGGAATTCTCACCAAAATGGTGAGAATTCCAATTCCAGTTTACTGTAGCTAATTTTTTTTATTTTTTTGGGCAATGAAAACAAATTCTAAAAATAATTGTAAAAAAATATTTCCTTTAATTGACAATTTTTATGTAAAAGAAAGTCAAAAGAATGCCAAAATATAGATGATTTTCTTGAATAATATATATATATATATATTTTGGTTGGCAATGGAAACAAAATCTATCCATTTAATTGATAATTTTCATACAAAACAAAGTCAAACGAACAAAAAAAACACTTTTATTTCAACATTTTCCATTTGAAAAATTATACCAATCAAACACAATAATTTACAATTTTCAGGGATACAATTTCTCGGCAATTCAATTATCTGGAATTCGTTTTCAATTCAATTAAATTTCATCTTTGCAATCAAATGGATCCTAAGAGACGCAAACAATTCTATTCACGAAAGATTTAAATGAATCTAGATCAATAAGTTCAAATTCAAGGTGGGCACAAAGACTTGCCACATGAGAAGACCAACTTGAATTTCGCAAATTGTTTACAAGATGATATTGGATTCGATTAGTCCATCGAGATTTTTTTTTCCTTTAATTTTCATAGAAAGGCTTGAGACCTCTCAAATATTGTATTCTATTAACTTGTAAAACCCACAAGGAAAAGATTTCAGGCCGAAGAGAATGACTTCAAATTTTGTACAAATAAAAAAGAAGACTTCAAGTTTTTTATTGTATCATATTCTTAAGAGATCATCATATAGTATGATTCCCATGTTGAGATTATGCTTCTTCAAGAGCATCAACTTTATACTTTTTAAATACTAAATATCAATTTGTACCTCTTTAAGAACGATAATAAATAAAATTGAGTTTCTTTACGTTAATTCAATATTTTTTTAGAATATTTTTAATACGTAGTGTGTTAATTTTTCAAGAACATTGTTTAGAATATTATGTATTCCTTACATTTGTGTTTGCTATTTATCATTTTCAAGAAAATTTTCAGCGCAAGGCTCCTATTTACTCGAAGCTTATTGAAGGCATATGATGGATACTTGAATAAATATTAGGCTCATCCTAGACATGCATTATATGATTGTTTGTAGGAGGATTGATATCATCCCATTGATGATGAAAATAAATTTAAGTGTGCAAGCTTTCTCGATATTTTTGGATGACATTTATGTCTGTTGAATATTCTTTTTTAAAGTCGACTAAAAACGAACAAAAGGAATTTCTTGGTGTGTAGAATGTTGCAACTAACTACTAGCTTAGTGATCGGATCTAGATCTTTGTTAGGTAACTAGAATGGAAGGAAGAGAGAGCATTGGCGTGAATATGAGGGGATTTTTAAAAGAAAATAGTTCTACCCACTCAAAGAAAGGCTTGAATAATAGGTAGGACTTTATTTTTTGGAATAAAATCTTCACATGGGGCCACCGCCATGTGAGATTTCTGTAAAACTTCTGGCAATGGTTTATCTGTACACATAATTTTTCCTCTTGGATTTTTCCATTTCATAGGAAAAATCTTTTTATAATGGATGCCTTAATGTTAATCATTAGGGTTAAGTCCCGAAGGCTTTTCGTTTTCCAACCTATCTCGGCATTTGAGCTTAACCCCACCTTTTCAACCATCACACAGTTTGGAAAATTGGAGCCATTCCACTTTCTTCTACGGAGAAACGACAAGAAATGGAAGAATAAACACAATAGAAATAATATTAAAATGCCGATGAAATTGGACAAAGCAACACCAAAGAAATTAATGCAAAGTCAAGACAAGAGTTGAACTCATTGTATTTAAATGCCCTGTAACAATGTCTACGGATGACAGCAATTAACTTCTGAGATACAACGACTAACTTCTTCTTTTTGTGGCACTTCAAAGCACAGGAACATCGAATCAAATTATGACTTTTGTACTTCTTTTAAATGAAATGAAAACAAATTTTTATGTAGAATTTTGTTTAAGGAAATATGAATATTTATGTTATGCTATGATTGCTTATCACTTGAATAAAGTAAATGACGTCTTAAGGGTCTAATTTGTAGAGGATGAGAGGTTGTAAGTGAAGAGACACACCCTCAAAACTTAGCAACTTTTGTTGTCACTCACCTGTAACTTAAGCTACAATCTTATCACCCTCTCACCATTCAAGCGGTAGAGTTGGGCAAATACCCGGCCAATTTTTCTCTTTTCATTCCAACCTTGAACCATAATTTCTCATTCGTCCGGAATTGATTTTAAGATTTCAGACATACGACACCGATCTACTCGATGAGCAGAACAAGTTAGTTTATCTATTTTCATAATTTGACTATCAAATCAAGTCCGAATATTGAATCGAAGCTGACACAAAAGTCATTTTACCATGGTTTTATGTTTTACCAATTCTAGCAGCTTCTTGGGTAAACAATGTCTTGTTTCCTGAATCCAAGAATGACCAACTCAAAAGTTTGAACTTCAAACCACAGCTTACATTTCTATCAAATTATTGCAAGACTTCAATATTTTTAAGAATTTCCTAGAAACTATATCAAAATAACCTGTACTTGGGTTAATATATACAGATCAGGGGTAAATCCCTTTTATTTTGGACTCCAAAGTCTCACTCAAACAAGCCCAAGGTACTTATACTCTCTTCGTCTCATAATTTGTCAAGATTATATATCATTTTGCTTGTTGAGTATAGGCAAAATTCTTTTAGTATGTCCGTATATAACGTGTCTGATTACATTGTCAATAAATATGAACCACTCTTATTTAAATCATAATATTTAATATAGGGGTTATATTAAACAAAAATATAAGAAAATTATATTTTTAACATGTATAAAAATAGAAATAAGTCTAAAACCCTTTAACCGATGTAAGGTTTCTATGTCCGTATAACATGCAAGAAACATCTTCAATACGCCCCCCAGGGCACATCCAAGTTGGCGGAACAATCACATTGGGGGGCTCTGGAACCAAGTGTGGGGAGTTCGATTCCTGGTTGGAGCAGCCAAGTGATGTAATAACCAGAGGAAGGGTTGGAGCAGCTTGGTGATGTAATAACCATGGAGGAGGGTCCCTTTGGGGAAGGAGTAAAAGCCATGTGGGAACATCAGAAAGCTTTTTCCATAGAGTAAGGATGCACGTTACTTTCATTTCCATTTAAAAAAAAAAAAAAAAAAAAAAAAAAAAAAACATCTTCAATACAACGATGTCCATTATTGTAAATGTGGAATATAAAATGAGAATGGAGCTCCAATGAAGCTGCTCTAATCTATTTATTTCCCCAAATGATAATTTGCTTGAACCAGGCTGAATCAAACCCCAGCTCTTTGTTCTCTGGTCTCTTCTATTTGATCGAATCAAAATTGAACCCCACAAACCCTCGGATCGTGACTCTCACTTGGATTTTTGAAATTCAGGTAATTATAGTTTGTTTTCTTTTTGCAGTTTTAAGATTTTGAACTCTTGGAATTTTGCTGCTTGTTGCAGTTGGGAAACTTTATATTCTAGGGTTTTTATTGGAGGTTTTAATGTATCTCTGTTTCATCGCTTTTCTGTACAAAAGACTTTGCTTCGTTTTCGTGCGCTCGCTGAGTAATTTTGTATTTTTTTTATTTACTTTCTTGATGAAAATATTCCTATAGTTTGATTTCTGTAATTCTTTTGACTAACTGATTAGGTTTAGTGTGGATATATTTTTCTATTTATGACAGGATAAAAGAATTGTATAGAGAGAGATGCCATTTTTTTTTATATATATCTTATAAAGAATCTGGCTCTGGGTTAATATGACTTTCACTTTTGTATAGATTGGGAAAAAAAACGAAAAAAGGATTATGTGTCAGGAATTGAATTTAGTTCCTCTCACCAAACCATCAGGAAATGTGTGAAGAAAGATTGGGAATTTAACATATTGTCAGGAATTGAATTTAGGTCCTCTCATCAAACTATCAAGAAATGCGTGAAGAAAGATTGGGAATATAAGATATTAAACATTTGAGATTTGAAATGAAGCATAATATTTCATGACGGTTTCACATTTGGTGGTGAAATCTGTAACAAATTAGCAGAATGTCTGTATAACTTTTGTTTTTTGAGGTTCTGCGGTGCTTACAAACTGCACAAAACTCTTTTTCCTTGCACAAAACCTGTAAGCTCAGCTTTTTGCATATTGTTGATTAAGGTTAGAACTTTAATTTTTAGATGCTACGTGTCTTTAGAAAGATATGTAAACAATTAATTGCATTATATGTCATTGTTATTTCACCCACTTTGGGGAGCAAGTCAAGTGATTTTAGTGTCTACATCTCATATGCAAATTTATAGATAGTTCAGATGCATGCTACCTGAATATTTTCCTTCTTCTTAGCGTTCTTCTGGATGTTAAACCAATTTTAATCACAAACTGGTTTAGTTCCTGTTTTAAAAACTTAAAAGAATAATAATAATTTCTAGTCCTCCAGTTGTAAATTCCTGGCAGTTTATTTTATATTGGCAGGTATGATTTTTTGGGCCTGTGTTACTCAAAATCTGCAATCTGTGTTTCATTTGGGATCTCATTTCCAAGAAGAGGACTGTAAATTTTTAATCAATTGTTTTTCAAGGTGATATCTCAAGTTGTATGTAAATAAAGAAAGATAATTGGGATTAACTAAAATTGGGGCAACAACATGACTTTATTTAAACTTAGGTTTGATGTTTTAAAGAACTTTGAATGAAGCAGTTATATTTATTATGTGTCATAGAGAATTTTGTAGTTCCAGTAGTGGAGGTTTATTGAAGTATGTCATGATGATTCTGTATGTTTGAAAGGAATTTGTTATTTTCTTGAGCCCTTTTTATGTGGGCAGTACTCAAAAGAAGCTCAAGGAATTGAATGTTATTAAGTACAATAGTATTCTCCGGGTGATATATCTTTTTGTAGTTCACTCCACTATGATGTGACCTTTTTTCATCATGAAACTACATTGAAGTCTGGAGATGTCAAATGATAAGTGGGTTGGGACTGGTAAAAATAGTGCCCGTTTGGCTCCCATTATTCAACATTATAATGAAAGGAATAGTAATTTTTTGGAGAACGTGGGGTTAAAAAGGAATGAAAATTTTTTGGGTTCACGTGTAATATTATTTTATTGGTGAATGTGTAATTAATTAGAATAGAGAGAAAAATAAAATATAATTTAATGGGGAATAATGGGGGCCAAACGGTTGCTTAGTGCGCTTCATTATAAATATCATATTTGAATTCAATAAAAAAAATGTAAAATTAGAAAAGAATAATAATTAAAAAAGAACTCCCTAATACTTATAAAAAAAAAAAAAAAAAACCAAACTCCCTAATCTTTTTTCCGTTAATTGTGGAGAAATGGTGAAAACGACCACTTAATAAGCAAAATAAAAAAAATAAAAGAGCAAGAAAAGAACAATTCTTGCTCTAAGCTTACTGCTCACATTACTTCCATTACTGCTGTTTGTGTAATTTTGGTTGGTTCTCAGAGATTTTATATTCCAGAATTGTGTATATTTGATTATAGGAATATTATGCTTGCGTATGGTGCAACCAATAGCACGAGTTTGCTTAATCTGGTGTAGACCCACATCTCCCCACCAGATTATCTAGTTAAGTCTGGATACTATTAATTTACCGATTAATCTAGTCGGTGTAGTCAAAGCCAAACTAAGTATTGGATAACCTTTATTCTTTATCCAAATATGGTGTGCTAAAGAGACCCTGGATGTTTTACCTGAAATATCTAATGATATTGAGGTTATAATTCTTGTTTGATAGATATTAGGAGAAATTCTTAGTGAATGCTTATTTATTGTTAATCAGACTTCTCAGAATCGCATTTAAACTCAATTTCTTTTTTTTATAAGTTTTAACTTTTACGTGAAGGTTGTTATGAAGTTAAGGATATAATTTTTGTTTGTTAGAAAATAGTCACCGATTGTTTGCTGTATTCATAGTTTTGGTTAAACTCCTCGGAATTGAATTATAAAACTAACTTATTTCTTATATGTTCTATGTGAAGGTTCTCATGAAGTTGAGGTTGCTAGTTTGTCGGGAACTAGGTTAATAATTGTTCATTGAATTCATATTAGGATAAAAAATCTTCTCATAATTGCATTTAATCATTATATTTATTCCTTGAATGTTATACCTGTATGTTCCTACGAAGTATTCTCCTTTTTCCTTGGTTCTTCCCAGAAAATTTCCTGTATCAGCTTAACAGGTTTCTTCTTTTATTTTAAGCGAATTATTCCTTTTTGCAGCTCAAATTATTTACCAATCAAAAATTCCAATGGGATACCACTTAAATAAGACTAGAAAATCCGGAAAGAAAAAACTCTCATTGGAATCCTTAACCTCCACTGATAATTCCTCTGCCACATCATCATCACCGTCCTCCTCTGATGAATTTGAGTCCTCAAAACGGCACAAACGCACCCATAAACGACGACATGGTAAAGACCGGGATGAAGGGCGTAAAAGCAAGAAATCACGAAGAGATTATAAAGAGAAGAACAAGAAGAAGCATACTAAAGAAACAAGAAAGGAGAAAAGAAGAGAGAAAAAGAAAAGAAGGTATGAGTCAGATGACCAAAGTGGATCCGAGTCGGAGGATTTGGAGCCCAAGAGACAGCAAGAGGTTACACACGTTGTGGCTAAATATATATTAAATGAGTTTTCAGGTGTTGCTGGGGACTTAGAGCAGGTATTTACTAGTAAGCTTTTTATGCTTAGCTTAAAAATGAATAATATTAATTTTTTGTGTTTGATTATAGTGATTTAGTATCTTTTTCGCTTTTTGAAAAATCTAACAGTTCACTTCTTCATTGAATCAATTGGCTTTACTGTTTGTTATGTAATGGGTGTTTGAAATAAAGTTACTTTATCTGTAACAAATACTGGGATTTTGTTGTGGAAAAATATATGGACATCTTAATGAATAAAAAAGATATATATTTTTGCTTCTTTTACAATTTGACTCTTGATAAGTTGGTCAAAAAAAGAAAAAAATGAGCCCGAGTAGTAATGTTAGCTGAAGAAAAAATGATAAGCATAAAAAGGAAAGAAATTAGGTTGCTAGATGTTGGTGAAGGCAAATGAAAATTTTTATAAAGTCCAGAAAACTACGTCAATTTGTGCTTTACCAATATAGTTACTCTACACTATTGATTATTTGTTTCAGTCATATTTTGTGCTGTTGGTCTCTAGATCAAGGCAATTAGAGGATTTTGTCCCACTTTATTGAGTGATTAATAGATAGACTTGGTGCTAATTCTATATTTGCATTATCTGCATAAAATAGAGAATGTTTGGTTAAGGTAAAATTTTTTACTTATAAGATCACTTTGAAGTAAATAAGTAATTATTTTAATTGATCAAAAAAGAAAATTAGTTATTTATTTTGAGGACATGGTAAGAGTTACTTTCAAAATAATTTTTAGTTTTTTAAAGCTTAGCCAAATATGCTTGGTAGCTCTAATATTTGGACTTGTCATCTCTAGTAGGATGCACCAAGCAGAGCTCTATAAGGTTTTTTAGCATCCTTTTTCCCTTATCAATCCTATCTATGGTGGTTAGCTTGGTACATTAGCTGTTTGGTAAATTTTATCGTTCAATGGAGTCAATTTGTATGGGTGTATCCTGATAATGAAATGCATTTGGGATAGTTTTTGCATATGTTTAAGCGATCGCAATAACTTTAAGACGCCTTCTACCTTCTTGTTCATTTTTTTTTTTTGTTCTGAGATGATAGTGATTCTAATATCAATACTTCACCACAATCCACATGCATGTGCATTGTCCTAATCAAATTTGGTTTTAGCTGAAACACAACATATTCATTCTTATAAATGATTTCTGTTTAGCTTTTGCGAATGATTGACGATGGACAAGCTGTTGATATAAGCGGATTATCTGAAAGGTCGTTAATCAAGCATCTGAGAAAGCTGTTTATTTCTTTAAACCTTAAAGAAAGTAGTGATCATATTTTTCTGCTTCCACCAAATGTGGGTCCAACATTGGAAGTTTTGGGACCTATTATCCACTCCCACGCCCAACCTCAAAAGCAGCTGCTTGATCATCCAGTATCACAGACAGAGGATTCAGTGAGGGCAGATTCAGAATGCAGAAATATGACTGAAAATGATTTGAATGATACAAAGGAAGACTGTGTTGGCCCACAAAGGAGGTATTAGACCTGTCCTCCCTAACACACACAAACATGGGAAGCTACAATTATTTAGATAGCTTCATTTTTTGGAAAAAATAAAGGTCAGAATACTACAGTTGAATCAAGAAGATATGTGTACTTTTTAACATTTTACTCAAATCTGTGAAGTGGAGAGATCAGTAAATTATTCTTTCTTTGCTTACATGAAAGAAATGAATAACACTGTTAAAGAAAGGAAGATGAACACTATCAATTCAATATGGGCTTTCCTGTTTGTTCCTTATTTTTTAAAGCATGTTCAATTATAGTCCAAATGGTTTGGTATCATAGCACTCCTGGTTATTGCCAATTAAAGTCCAACTGGTTTGGTATTTCATGGTTATTGCAGGATGATTGGACCTGAAATGCCGTCGGCTGAGTTGCTTGCTGTAGCAGCTAAATTAACTGAAGCTGAAGCTGAATTGAGGTATTAACAGTAATTATAAATTGTGGCTAGGAATTTCAAAGGAAATTTTCCTGATAGGTTCTTTTGCATTTTGTAAATCTTTATATTAAGTTTACTTTGTAGAACTTATGAGAGTGCTTCTTGATCATTAGAAATTTCAGCCCTGGATTGTGGTTTCTATGTTAATTTTTGATGATGAATATATACAGAGAGGCCGAGTTGGATGAAGACACAGGAATATTTATAGGACCTCCACCTCCTGCTGTCGTCACTGAAGCTGAGTCTGCAAATGAGGCAGAGCGCTTCGAAGAGGTTCATTCTTTTCCCCTTCCATGACCATCAGGAAACCTCTGTTTCACCCATAATAATTAACTCTTTGCCCATTTACATACTCAACTCATGGACCCTTAATATGCAGATAATAAAATGAGAAAATTCCTTAATCATCTCCTACATAGCATGCAGTTGCTTTTGTTGCTAATTACAACTCCATGTTTGTTTCTGCGTGGGACTGAACTTATTTCTTATGTTCAGATTACAAGAATTATGGGTGCAGATGATGATAGTCCGTACGATATACTGGGTGTCAACAAAAATATGTCAGCTGATAACATAAAGAAAAGGTATACATATAGATGATAATTTGAGGAGAATTGATAATTTGTACTCTTAAACACATGATCTTTATATTGATTCCACTTGGTATGAAGTCCTTTTGTATCAATCAAAACAAGCAAAAGTTTCCAATTGCTAATAAAAATCCAAAAAATTGAAGAAACGAGAGAATTTTTTTCCCCCTTACAAATATTTCAGTTTCCACACGATTTTCGTATATTGATTCCACTAAGCATGCAGTTTTCAAGTTTTTATCAGTATCGATGCAAGCTCAAGTTTCCAATTGCCAATAAAAATATAGAAAATTGACTGTTATTTATTATTTATTTATTTTTTGCCATGTGCATTCTTTTAGAAAGATTTAAACTTGTCAACATAGAAACTTCTTTTATAGTAGCTGTTGTTTTGTAAAGGATGTAGATTTCTGTGTCTTTTAATGATTTTTGTTATTGATTATATCATTGAACTAAGTTATACAGAGTCACTGGGGTGATGAAGTTTCAAAACTATTGTTGTGGCTACTTTAACTATGAAATTTAGTTTTATAGGAAAATGTAATAGCAAGGATTGCTGCAGAAACATAAGGTTTCTACAATGTGCATTACTCCATTTGTCTACTCTGGTGACAGTTATCTAGCCCTATAATAATTGCTGAATATTAGTCTTAGCCCATGATTTCAGATTATGGTTGGCATTCATGATTTTCCGTAGTTTTGCATGTGCCGCACGCAATGTGAATAATGGATTTCCAGTTTTATGTAGTTAAATTGGTTCAGTGTCGTGCTCCCTGATACCTGATGTTGCCATATTAATTGATTGAAAATGATATTTCATTTTAGTCCTTGATTTTTATTTATTTTTCTATTTTATGATGTGCCGCTAGTTTTACTGATGATCATTTTTCTTCTTAGGTACTGGAAGTTGTCTCTTATGGTGCACCCTGACAAATGTTCTCACCCACAAGCTCATCAGGCATTCGTTAAATTGAACAAAGCTTTTAAAGATCTGCAAGATCCTGATAAGGTGAGTGTTTGAAATTATTGAAGCTTCCAGTTAATTAAGAAGTTTTCTATTACTCTTTTGTTTCCTTCGATAAAATTTCAACCAAAGTTTCTTGAGATATTACGCTTAAAAAAATTATATAGTTATTCCACTAAGTTTACGTCAAAGAGCTCTCTGGTTTATAATTAATATTGAAGCTCAGGTCATGTAGCTAAGAAATGCTTTAAATCACCAATTTTTGATTTATTAATCTGCTGTGGACTCTTGACATTAGAGTACATTGCAAGTTATATTCAACAGGGGTTAGAATTTTCTGTAATTGCAGAGGTTATCGGTTTGGGGGAAAAATGATAGTGAATTAATTGCATAAACATGCATAGTTTGTTGAAATTAGATTAGATTTAGAAATATTTACTCGATTTTGGGTTCAATTGACCTATGTCACTTAATTTATCTCTTTCTAAGGAATCATATTTGAAAATAACGTGTTTGTGGATGAGATGAGTGGCTACTGGTTATGTGGCTTTAGATAATTTCGATACATTGTTATTCTTTTGCATTGAAGACACTACAATTGCCGTAGGCTTGGGATTATATGGAATTATCTTCTCGAATCTAGTGTTCCCTAACTGAAACTTTATGCATAGTTTAAGTGCTTGTTTGTTAAAGCTTAAAAAGTTGAGATCAAAGTCAACAATTAATTTTAACCACACACTTCAAGGGACCCACTACTTTATGAACTTTTCAATCTCACATTTTACCATGTTTTATCAAAAGCTTTATCAAACAACCCTAAATGATTTGTATATGATTTTCGGCTTATCAAACTATGTTTTCTGTTAGAGAAAACGCTGGACGATAAAATAAAGCTCAAGGAGGAACAAGAGGAATTGAAGGTACAATTTTGGCATAGCTACGTCTAGGTAAACCTTAAACAAGTTCTTTATAATTTTCGCTCACAAAAATATTTTAATTCTGTAGATAGAATTGAAAGCCATGCGTGAGGCTGCACAATGGAGACGTTTGCAAGGTTTGCATATCCTGCTAACTTTTAATGTGATTGATCTTGTTTGACTTCCCACCTTCTCCTGCCACCCTTCTCTCTTGTATGCAATTGCAAATGCACATTAGAAATCACAAGTAGAACCTAATTCTGCCGATTTTGTTTAGAAACAAGAATTCCATCGAATTTCTTTTATCTAATTCAAACAAAATCCTATCCTAGCAAAAGTTGTATATGTTTGATCTACTCTATTCAAACCTCCAAGCCCATAGGAGAACAACCAATCTTAACAGTAACATGTACTAGTGAGGATTGAAAGCTACAAAAATTCGAGGAATATAGTGCGATGTGTCATGTTTGCTTGATTTCTTGAAAACATGAGGTATTTTGGATTAGACTCAAAATTAGCGTGTTGGGCTAAGCCTAAAGAGTTGAACTTTTAAGCCTCCGTTTGGCAAAATTTAGAAATAATTTATTAATGGCCAAACTTCATTTTCAACCACACATTCCAAGAGACCCTCAAGTATTATCCACTTATCAACCAATCAATTCTATCTTTTTATGAATAAAAGGCTAAATAAAAAAACTGGTTTGGTAAATAATATTTTTTGTGGTTAAAGTTGGAAAGAGTTAAGTTACTTTGACACTAAAGTAAGAATGACTTTGAAAATAAGTGATGTTTTCACTTGTAAGTTGGTGTACATATTTTTATTCTGTTAAGCTTATTAGCCAAACTTGTTACTCTATCACATTAACCTGTGCGCTTCATTTCTTAAATAATGGTTATGATAATGTACATGTTATTGAGATGGGTATTCTCTGTGCATTTTTTATTTTATTTTATTTTTTATTTTTTATTTTCTTATCTTTTCTGAGGTACTTAAATTTCAGCCTCCAATTCTATTTCTCACTCTTTTTGCAATCGAAATAAATAAAAGAGGGATTATTCTTTGGCATCCATGTTGTTGTGTATCCCATCTTTAGTACTGTAACTTGGGAGCTTGAATCTCTTTACCTTGTGTGTATTTCAGCAATGAAAATGTTTCTTTGTTTTAAGGGAATTATGATCTCAGCGTGAAAACCAGATTACTGTTGGCTGCAGGTATATCCATGGAGGGTGATGACATACTCTTGGCTGAGATGGATGTTAAAGTCGCACCAAAAAGAGAAGAATGGATGACAACTTTACCGCCTGAAAGAAAAGTACGGATTGTATCTATGTTTTTCCCTCCCATCCCTCTATTATTCCGTCTGGAAAACTATGCATTGCAAAGGTTACCTGTTTACATGAGCCATAACCATTGTCCTTTCTGGTTCCCCATCTGGGATTAAGACTAGCATGTTTGATTAAGATTAGAAAGCTACAAGTAACTAACTTCTTTCTATTTGTGAAAGTTAAAAAAGAGTTAAGTTACTTATTGTGATAGAAATGTGAAAGTTATTTCCATTAAAGCTCGTTTGGGTTTGGCTAAGCTCAAATAGTCAACTTATTAAGTAAATTTACTCAAAAGTAAATAACTGAGTTTTAAAATAAAAGAAAATTTGATTGGTCAAAGTTAAGGTGTAATGGTTACTTTTAAAATACGCAATCTATTTTCTTTGTTCTTTAAAAAAAAAAAAAACAAAAGAAAAGAAAGAAAGAAAGGAAAAAAAAAAAAGGAAGATACTTGGCCAATCATGCTCTAGGTCTTATCAATACTTGACATGTGCTAATTTACTAACAATACAACGTGAAGAGCATGGGTGGTTAATTTTCTAGAGAACCCATGTGTGAACGGTGAAGTTTAAATCCCAAGTGAACAAAATTTCATGTCCTTGCTGCTCTAGAATGAGCTCAGATGAATGAATAGGCGTATTAGTAAGAGATTGTTTCATGTCTAAAATGATATTGTACTTCCTGTTTGTTTCTCTCATAATTTAGGGGCACTGATAGAATTTTTGAAGTTGTTTAATAAATATATGGCTGGTAATATCTTGTTTTTGTTCCTTTTCCGGTTATGATATAAATAATGAGAAAAAATGAAATTAAATGCGTTCATACTTTGCTAATCTAATTACACAAACAAAGCTGAAAAGCGTCGGAAATTATTATTATTTTCTTATCACAAGTTCATTACTTCTAAGTTGTTCACGACTTGTTAAGTCAATCTGATTGATTTCTCTTCCTCAGCCTGGAATGACCATGCAGTCGACAAGGTTTAGCAAGAGCTCGAAAGAAGGTCGAGGTGATACCAGTGCCTGGACGGATACTCCTTCAGAAAAGGCTCAGAAAGCAAAAATGAAGTACGCGAACTTTTGTGTCATTAATATGTGCAGGATTTTTTTAGACTTTAATTTCTAAAACCGAGATATTTCGGGCAGTTACTTGGAAGCCTACAATGAGGCTACTGCAATTGCTTCGAAGGAGCATGAAAAGAAAACAGCAAATACCGACGCAGAATTGGTGGACCAGTATAATAAAGCCAAAAGATCAAAGTCATTGGTTGAAAAGCATAAAGAATCAGGCAGGAGTAGTTCAAAGAAAAAGTCGAAGCAGGAGCCAGTAAAAGATGACTGGGAGGGAAAACATCCATGGAAACCTTGGGATCGGGAAAATGATTTGACTGCTGGAAGGCAGAAGGTTAAATTAGATGCTGAAAACATGGCTGCGGGCCTGACTTCCAGATTTGCCTCAGGATCTTTCCAAAGGAACTTTCTCTAGATCGTTGATTGCGTTCAGTCAATGGATTCAGCAGTACGAGTTCGATGTTATCTGCAGCTCTTGTGCTGAATCTGGTTTGAGGTCAATTATCATAGTTTTTTCATTAAACATCATGTTAGTAACTGTAGTCCCATGTATCCCATTCTGTATATTTAATTGCTATATTAGACTCGAGAAGACACCATAATAGAAAAGATTTTCACTTTTTGTCTTCATTAGTATTGTCCGGTCAAATTCATCTTACCAAACATGTCATCCTTAAGCTATATTCTACTGTGTCCGAGCAGCATATATTTCATGGTTATTTATTTATTTTTATAAAGCAATACATATTCCGTGGTTGGATTTAGGTTAAAACAGATTCACGAAATAACTATTCACTAAAGTAATATCTGAATTCATTGCATCAAGGAACATAGTAGGAGAAATTAAAATTATAAAAACGTTGAATCTACCACAATGTACAATAAGGATTTTTATATATTGGATCGTTATAAGATTAATGTATTAAAAAGCGTAAAGCATAGTTAGACGAAGTGTATTAACATGCATAATGCGTGGAGGTCAAGCTATGGGCTATGAAAGTTTAGGCGCAAAAAAGCGAAAAAACGCGTTTTCTTATTTTAATATTATTTTAATTTTTAATAAATCAAAAAATTATTTAATAATTAAAAATAATGCTTACTAAACATTTAAAACAGATTTATAGGAACTTTATACATTTTTTTTTTCAAAGTTTCCAACAAAAAGATAAATTTCAAATTTAAATACAAAATTGTATAGAAACTTAAATTTTATCTAACTCTTTATCGGGCTCCAATTCAATATCTTCTTCTTTATCTAATTCGTCTTCCGTGTCTTCAAGTGGTTGTTTTAAATTAGAGAAAAATAAAGAAATTAGTCATTGACAATTTTTTAACAACATAAAATTTTCAAAAAAAGAAAAAAAAAAATTAAAGAAAATGATGATAATGCCTGCATAATTGCGCCTAGGCGTGCCTTAGCGGTCAACGACAATCGTTGACTGCCGAATAAAGTGCCAAGCCACTTGACTTAGCGTTTTGGTCGAACATCATGCCTAGACGGTGCCAAGACATTTAGAACATTGGTTAGACGGCAAAGTTAAATTTCAAGCTTTTACAAGCTTAGGTAGGCTTAGGTAAATCCTAAGCAAAAATATAATTGTAATAAAATAAATAAAAACCAACATGGCTAAATGTCAAGGTCAAACTTCACTCCTGGACAAAGTCTGACGAAATTTAAACGAACAGTGGATTAAGAAAAGGGAAATTTACATAAATGTCACTGAAATTGAAAATGCATAAAAAAAAAAAAATTCATTTGCACCAATTTCTTCCAAAAATGTCACTTTTTTAATGCAAAATGTCTACTTTACCTTTTATGACATCTTTTTAGGAGCAATAAATGCTTGATTTGAATGTAATTAATGATGTGATGTGATAATTTGTTTTATATATTTTAAACATTTAAAATATGATTATTATATTGTATAATGTGAATTTTTGTTAAAAAAAATGGGTGAAAAGTCAAGAAAAACACATAAGCATTTATGAACACAAACCCTACCTTCTTCTTCTTCATCTTCATTCCATCATTAACAAGGGAAAGCTATTGATCAATCTCAAATGTAAACTACTAGAAATTATTTATATTTTCATCTCATAGTTTACTACTTTAGATTTTAATACAACATGGTTATATTTAATTGAACTTTTTGAATCTCTTATTCATCAATGTATTTTATTTTTGATACATTTTTCAAAGGGCAAAAAATACCAACATCCTCTAAAAAAATGTAAAAGATTTCATATTTAATGAAGCATTGAGTCATTCCTTATTTATTTGGGGAAGATATTGTGATGTTGTAGTTAAGAATTGATTATCACCATTAATGTTTTCAATAAATTTCTTCCAAAAAACTAAATACATGATTTTCAAGCTTCCCCGAAATTAAAGGCAGTTTAATTGTTGAGTAGTGTCATCGAAACCGTCGGATTAGACATCTGAACTGTCGAACTCGACATTTACTTACTGTCGGGATAGATAATTTAACTGTCGATTTCGACACTTGAAAACTGTTGAAACCCTTTATTTCTCTTTTTGCTATTATATGGATTTAAATATTCAAAAGCTCCAATTTGATGGTATTAAATGTTGACATATGAAATGTGCAAAATTCTCACATTTGCAATCTTAACGTTTCAGGTATGAGTCATAACTTGAGATTTATCGTGTCGCATAGGGGAAAGTTTGTTCAACCCTTAATGTAATACAAGTTTCTTAAACAATCGCTCAATGTCGTTGTTGACGTTATATATCGAATGTTCCTCCTACTGCGTTGTACATTATCAAGTTATATTATAGCTTTGTTGTCATTATCGTTTGCGGCCATTATTGGTCCTTATGTTATCATTATCGAACTCTGCTACTGTTGAAAATAATTCAATCATACCATTCAAAAACTGCTATCACAATCCATTAAATAGTAGACTCAATTGACACATAAATGATAAACACCACTAATGTTAAATTGTATTACTATGAAGAAAAGGAGGATAACAATTACAAAATTGGATTGAATTATTTACTACAATATTAGAGGTAGAGTGCTTTTTGTACTTTAAAAAAAATCATCAATTTAACGTTTTCGTTATCTTTATTCATTTTTATCATGTTTATAACATATTGATTTCATTGGAGTGTACATATCTTGCATAAAGGTATTTTCAACTTACGGTGTTCCCCAACACATTCTCAACTTACATTACCATTTTCAACATACATATTCATTATATTCCCACATCATTCACAGACAGGCAAATATATGTTCAACTTCACAAGTAAAATATAGATCCATAGACAACATATTGCATGACAGCCGGACAGTTCATCTGCCGTTCTCAACGAATTGTTTTTGTCATCCTCGACACTTGGTAATGACAAATTGTATGAATAGTTTTCGACAGTTCATTGCAATTGAGTAAAGTACACTGAAAATCAAATGTAACAAATATTCAAATACACAGCATTATGTACATACATTATCACATGAATTCTTGACAGAAACTAGAGACCATAAATATAGTCTACACATAAGCATAATAGTTGTAAAATTAACAAATTCAGTTATGTTACCATTGAATTTCACCTAGGAGTACACAACATTTAAGCAGCGATTACAGCAAACTAAAATATTTGTGCGCATAACTAATAGAAACTGTAAAACATTTTAAAGTAAAAAAGCGATACCATCACAATACGTTTCTATTGTGAAATAAATACATCCAAAAGCACTATCACGATCATTAACTACTTAAAACAACTGTTATGTTATCTTTGAGAATATGTGACTATTTTCCTAGTTAACTCCTACAATGTATCTAATATGTTGTTTGATTTAACGTTGGTTGACTTTCTATCCGCTCCTCCTCGTGAATGGAGTTCTAGTCAATGCAGCAGGCACTCGAACACGTGTCGATCATTGCATATTTGTGTTAACATCATCGTCATCTTGAACGGATATGGTTGATGCCAGTGGTACATCAGTGTATACTCCTATGCAAATGTGATTTGAGTTGTATTAGGCACCAAAATTTAATAATGGAAGAAAATAACAGATTCTGTTAAAATTTGAAGTGTAACATCGAAATGATAGGTTTATCTTCAACAACACATATTTAACGTAAAATATAAAAATTTGACATTGTATAACTATCCTACTACGGAACTTACAGTCTGCCATAAGCATAAGGAATTTCGTGACCGTTCGATCATGTACCTTTCAATTCGACACCTTCATACGAAATAATCAAGTTTCAAATGCCAAGTTAAGAAATCAAAACATTCTAATGTTTGTTTTTTAAAATTGAAAGTAGTGACACATACCAATTGCCTCTTTTACCCATTTAGTCAATGTACCTTTCGGTAGTTTGTGTTACCAACTTTCAGGTCAGTATCCTTATACAAAACAACCATGTTTGAAATCATGAAGATAAAAACTTCAAATAGTGGGACAAATGCGTTTTTAAATTTAAGTGATAATACATACCAATCCCTCATCTACCTAGCTAGTCGATGGACCCTCCGGTAGTCCAGGCAAACACCTTCTGGGTCGATAACTTCTCTATCTAGAATGATAGTTTATCTCTACAGATGGATTCATAACTACTATGTTTATAATTCATAAAGTAATAATGATGCTCAAATGACATGTTATACATTTCAACCCCTAAAATCACACGTAGAAGAGAAGCTTAACAAAATTTGGCTTTTACAATCAACTGTCGAGAATTTCAGAGCCTAACTGTGAAGAACTACAGTTCATCTGTCAACAGATGATTTCGTTACTGTCAGAATGGACATACATTTCACATTCGTATTGATTTTCCAAGACATGAAGGGCCAAGTTATGACAAACATGATATGTGTTATACTTATAGTTTCAAATAGCACCACTTTTCATATACTAAGCCATAAGTTTTATATATAAATGCAAAGATATTTTCAAGAATAAAAATATAATAATCCAACACTTCAAACAACATTCAAATAACCTGGAATAATCATATAAAGACACATTTAACCGAGGTTATTTGTGCATGTTTACCAGAATATACCCAATTCAATCTTAATTCATTTCACAAGCTCAAAAATTAAACTCAAACTCAATTTGTCCAATAATGACCAATAACCATTATTTACATGAAAGAAAAATGAAAAACATAATTGTAAGAAATAAATTCATAGATAACTTACATAAACCAAATTTTTAACATTTTCATGCCACTAAAAAATAGAAAACAAAAAAAAGAGACATATTGTATCAATTCAGACCAAATTTGTAAAGACTAAAAAAACAAATACCTCTAAATTTGAAAAATCAGAAGAGAAGAGAGTAACAAATGTAAAAAGAAAGAAAAGATAAAATCTCAAGAGATTAATGGTGATCTTCATTGACGGTGGACTGACTAACGATTATTTGGCTTTAAGCCTAGACAAAAATGGAGGATTTAGCATCCCTGACAACCTTGAGTAAGAGGAAATTGAGTCATTTAGATCTAGGGAATGAGAGAGAGAATAATAGAACTTTTATCTTTTGAGGAATGAGAGAAAATGATAGGATTCTTTTAATAACTTTAATCCTACTCAGTACTCTCGTTAGTTTTCTTATAAATCTTTCTTAAGAATCATATATAAATCCTTTTCTTTTTTTTTAAATTTTTCACCACCTATGACATATAAACTTGAACCTGATTTCTTTTTACAAGGTTACCCTTGGCACTC